AGTGTACATGTGTCAGCTCAGTGTACAAGTGTCAGCTCAATATACAAGTGTCAGCTCAGTGTACATGTGTCAGCTCAGTGTCCATGTGTTAGCTCAGTGTACATGTGTTAGCTCAGTGTACAAGTGTCAGCTCAGTGTGCAAGTGTCAGCTCAGTGTACAAGTGTCAGCCCAATGTACAAGTGTCAGCTCAGTGAACATGCGTCAGCTCAGTGTCCATGTTTTAGCTCAGTGTACATGTGTTAGCTCAGTGCACAAGTGTCAGCTCAGTGTACAAGTGTTAGCTCAGTGTACATGTGTTAGCTCAGTGTACATGTGTCAGCTCAGTGTACAAGTGTCCGCTCAGTGTACATGTGTCAGTTCAGTGTACAAGTGTCAGCTCAGTGTCCATGTGTCAGTTCAGTGTACAAGTGTTAGCTCAGTGTACATGTGTTAGCTCAGTGTACAAGTGTCAGCTCAGTGTACTGGTGTCAGCTCTGTGTACAAGTGTCAGCTCAGTGTACATGTGTCAGCTCAGTGTACAAGTGTCAGCTCAGTGTACAAGTATCAGCTCAGTGTACATGTGTTTGCTCAGTGTACAAGTATCTGCTCAGTGTACAAGTGTCAGCTCAGTGTACAAGTGTCAGCTCAATGTACAAGTGTCAGCTCAGTGTACATGTGTCAGCTCAGTGTACATGTGTTAGCCCAGTGTACAAGTGTCAGCTCAGTGTACATGTGTCAGCTCAGTGTATAAGTGTCAGCTCAGTGTACATGTGTCAGCTCAATGTACAAGTGTCAGCTCAGTGTACATGTGTCAGCTCAGTGTACATGTGTTAGCTCAGTGTACATGTGTCAGCTCAGTGTACAAGTGTCAGCTCAGTGTACAAGTGTCAGCTCAGTGTACATGTGTCAGCTCAGTGTACATGTGTTAGCTCAGTGTACATGTGTCAGCTCAGTGTACAAGTGTCAGCTCAGTGTCCATGTGTCAGCTCAGAGTACAAGTGTCAGCTCAGTGTACAAGTGTCAGCTCAGTGTAAATGTGTCAGCTCAGTGTACATGTGTCAGCTCAGTATACAAGTGTCAGCTCAGTGTACATGTGTCAGCTCAATGTACAAGTGTCAGCTCAGTGTACATGTGTCAGCTCAGTGTACATGTGTCAGCTCAGTGTCCATGTGTTAGCTCAGTGTCCATGTGTTAGCTCAGTGTACAAGTGTCAGCTCAATGTACAAGTGTCAGCTCAGTGTGCAAGTGTCAGCTCAGTGTACAAGTGTCATCTCAGTGTACAAGTGTCAGCTCAATGTACAAGTGTCAGCTCAGTGTACAAGTGTCAGCTCAGTGTACAAGTGTCAGCTCAATGTACAAGTGTCAGCTCAGTGTACAAGTGTCAGCTCAATGTACATGTGTTTGCTCAGTGTACAAGTGTCAGCTCAGTGTACATGTGTCAGCTCAGTGTACATGTGTCAGCTCAGTGTAAATGTGTCAGCTCAGTGTACATGTGTTAGCTCAGTGTACATGTGTCAGCTCAGTGTACAAGTGTCAGCTCAGTGTACATGTGTCAGCTCAGTGTACATGTGTTAGCTCAGTGTACATGTGTTAGCTCAGTGTACATGTGTCAGCTCAGTGTACAAGTGTCAGCTCAGTGTACATGTGTCAGCTCAGTGTACAAGTGTCAGCTCAGTGTACATGTGTTTGCTCAGTGTACATGTGTTAGTTTCAGTGTACATGTGTCACCTCAGTGTACATGTGTAGCTCAGTGTACATGTGTCAGCTCAGTGTACAAGTGTCAGCTCAGTGTACAAGTGTCAGTTCAGTGTCCATGTGTTAGTTTCAGTGTATATGTCACCTCATGTACATGTGTCAGCTCAGTGTACAAGTGTCAGCTCAGTGTACATGTGTCAGCTCAGTGTACAAGTGTCAGCTCAGTGTACATGTGTCAGCTCAGTGTACAAGTGTCAGCTCAGTGTACATGTGTCAGCTCAGTGTACCAGTGTCAGCTCAGTGTACATGTGTCAGCTCAGTGTACATGTGTCAGCTCAGTGTACATGTGTCAGCTCAGTGTACAAGTGTCAGTTCAGTGTACATGTGTCAGCTCAGTGTACATGTGTCAGCTCAGTGTACATGTGTCAGCTCAGTGTACAAGTGTCAGCTCAGTGTACAAGTGTCAGCTCAGTGTACATGTGTCAGCTCAGTGTACATGTGTCAGCTCAGTGTACATGTGTCAGCTCAGTGTACATGTGTCAGCTCAGTGTACATGTGTCAGCTCAGTGTACATGTGTCAGCTCAGTGTACATGTGTCAGCTCAGTGTACAAGTGTCAGCTCAGTGTACAAGTGTCAGCTCAGTGTACAAGTGTCAGCTCAGTGTACATGTGTCAGCTCAGTGTACAAGTGTCAGCTTAGTGTACAAGTGTCAGCTCAGTGTACAAGTGTCAGCTCAGTGTACATGTGTCAGCTCAGTGTACAAGTGTCAGCTCAGTGTACAAGTGTCAGGTCAGTGTACAAGTGTCAGCTCAGTGTACATGTGTTTGCTCAGTGGACATGTGTTAGTTTCAGTGTACATGTGTCAGGTCAGTGTACAAGTGTCAGCTCTGTATAAAGTGTCCGTTTCAATGTACATGTGTCATTTTAATGTACATATGTGAGTTTCAATGTACTTGTGTCAGCTCATTGTAGCTCATTGTAAATGTGTCAGCTCATTATACAAGTGTCAGCTCCGTGTACGTGTCAGTTTCAGTGTACATGTTTCAGTTTCAGTGTACATGTTTCAGTTTCATTATACATGTGTCAGTTCATTGTACATATATGTGTATATACAACATACTGTATGTCAGTTCATTGTACATATATGTGTATATACAACATACTGTATGTCAGTTCAGTGTACATATATGTGTATATACAACATACTGTATGTCAGTTCATTGTACATATATGTGTATATACAACATACTGTATGTCAGTTCATTGTACATATATGTGTATATACAACATACTGTATGTCAGTTCAGTGTACATATATGTGTATATATAACATACTGTATGTCAGTTCAGTGTACATTTGTCAACCCAGTGAACATGTGACTGCTCCAGTGTGTGAGGCGTAAGGAACGGCGAGCTGATTATGAGGATATATAAAATAAATACATTTCTGCTGATATCAGGTAAACACGGAACAAAATGCATCAATATTCTGCATTTACTTTTGAAAAATGATAAAATTAAAAATTCCAAATTGTCATTCTGCACACTCGTACATAGAAAGATAACCAAACAACGTTGCGTAACCTCATGCATTGCCATGTGTCATATGCATGTGTTACCTATCCTAGTCCTGTAGCTCACCTGGCAAAATCACGTCTTTAAACACATAGTGTTTCATATGGCTATTACAGGTTAGGGGCGGTGGGGTAGTCTAGTGGTTAAAGCGTTGGCTCGTCACGCCGAGGACCCGGGTTCGAATCCCGACATGGGTACAACGTGTGAAGCCCATTTCTGGTGTCCCCCGCCGTGATGTTGCTGGAATATTGCTTAACGCGGCGTAAAGTCAAACTCAGTCAGTCAGTATTACAGGTTAAGTCGCATTATGCCAGATTGTTAATCAACACACAAAAAGGAATGTACTATGACTATCAATACGCAAGACTATCAGCCGGTGCACATATAAAACGCACCGCGATGGCCATATAAATGGTGTATGTGCTGTTGCCCAATAACATATAGTCGTCTACTGTGTATATGGGACAGTGACGACCACCAAGATCAGCAGCTGTGCCGATATCCACTGTTTTTCTGAGATTGTCGCTCAGCTATGATTCTCGGTTTGAGTGAATGAGTGAAGTTTTACGCCGCTTTTAGTAATATCACCGCGGGGAACACTAGTGTGAGTGAGTGCGTTTGGTTTCCTGCAACAACGCCGACCCCGACACCAACGCCAACTCGGAAACCATCAGCTATGACAAAAGGTAAACGAAGACCATGATCATAAATTGGGATAATGCGAGGTTATCCTTTCTAGAAAGTAAAAAAATCCATTTGTATTTTCCTGTGAAACGCAATAAAATCATTAAAATGTAATACGTTTTTTCATATTCTGCTTGAACCAACTACAAACTATATATCGTTGACGAGTTGTTCGTCTTTTTGGGGAGTGAGTGAGTATGGTTTTAGCAATATACCAGCAATATCACGACGGGGGACACCAGAAACGGGCTTCACACATTGTACCCATGTGGGAATCGAACCCGGGTCTTTGGCGCGACGAGCAAACACTTTAACCACTAGTCTACCCCACCTCCCCTCCTCGGATTGAAAACACCATGCCTGAAGCGTTTTACCTTACTCAGTATGCCAGCAGTGATTTTTGGACATGAACGTTCTCATCCCAGTTAAAATACAGGTGAGACCAGTCTCAGTGTGGGGCTTTCGTCCCATGTCAAGTTGACACGCCGTTATATAACAGTTTCTGGAATACTGTTCAAAACGTCTGGTGTTAAAGCAAACTCACTCACTTACTCGACATTCATCCAAGCATCTATTGCTGATGTTACCGCCACTGTAGTACTGTAAAGAACCCATTCAGTCGTCCGGGCTGTCCCTCACTCACTCATCCACCCGTGACGATACAGGTTTGAATTTGTCTTCAGCAGCCCATGCTTGTCGTAAGAGGAGACTGATAGGATCAAGTGTCCACACTTGCTGACTTGGTTGATACATGTCATCGTTTCCTACTTGCGTGGATCGATGCTTATGTGTTGATCACTGGATTGTTTGGACCAGACTCGATTATTTATATACCTGGAATATTGCTGAGCGCGGTGCTAAACAACGACCAACCAGACAAACAAATTATGTGTTGATCAATGGATTGTCTGGTCCAGACCCAATTATTTACAGACCAGCAGGACTTTTGCTGAGTTCTTCTTTAAAAAACAATCAAACCCTCATCCTCGTTTACTCCAGACACGTACCTATATTGCTTCAACAATGATCGCAATCCCACAACTTCTTCCAACCAGGTGAGTTACTCGTCCTGTCTCTTGGCATGTATCTTGCTCTCAAGATAAGATAGTTCTGTGTCGGTCTTCGTCGCCAAGTCGCCAACAATGAAGCTGTGTCTGCTGTTTGTCGTCTTTGTAGTCGGGGCTCAGGGCCAGTTTCTGTTTAAAGGCGGTAACTTACAATTCTATATTTGTTTTGATAACACGTTCTTGATCGTTCGTATAATTACATGGATTATATATTCAAGAAAGTTCTGATATCATAGCGTTTGACATAAGTTTATTGTTAATCAAATGGTATTATAATTGTATGAAAGAAAATGAGTGAGTGCTTGGTCTAGTGGAAACAGCATCTTAACAGAAAGCGGTAAGTGAATGGTTCGATTCCCGGGCGCATCATATGTTATATTTTATGTTACCCTTCCTGGCACACGGCATTAAGGAATAAAACTGGTTATAATAGGACTGGTCGTCTCTGTACACGCACAGGCACGTACACGCACGCGGTCATTCGCAATTAGTCTAAGTGAGCGCCTAAACACCAGATACCTATTCTAATCACCACAGCGCAGAGTGCCAGAACTACTAAATCGAACTTGTACACCTCCATAAAGGTGTTCACTGCATACGAGTGTGTCTTGTTCTTACCTGGCGTCTTGCAGGATCCTGCGCGAACCGATGCTTCACCAGAAACGACTACGCCCAGACGTGCCAGTGTGATTCGGACTGCGAGACCATTGGGAACTGCTGCAGCGACTTCTGGACCAGATGCAGAGGTCAGTTACATCCCCATCCATCTCGATGATGAGGTGGTTGCTATGGCTGTTTTAGGTGTACAGGAAGTTGACTACAGGCATAGATGTGGTGCTTCTGGTAACGGAAGTACCAATGGTATCGGGGTAGCAATGGTCCCTGAAGTTACGGTCATTTCTTTGATCGTTCGTTCGTTCGTTCGTTCGTTCGTTCGTTCGTTTTCGTTTGTTTGTTTGTTTGTTTAACGCCGCAATATATACAAGCTGTATGAAGGCCTTTCCTTTAACAATCGAGATGGGACTAAACAATCCAGTGATTAACATCATGAATCTACTCATCTGGGATGCCACTGACAGCAATGACGACCCAATCACGACAAGCATGGGCTGCTGAAGACAAACTCAAGCCCGTTACTTCTTTAGGAGTGTTATTGGTAGTGTTAATGGTAGTGGCTCTGGTACAGGAAGGTATTGGTATTGGTAGTGATCATGGTTGGTGACTACTGTGGTATAATAATAATAATAATAATTAATCCATTTGTATTGCGCTAAATCCACACCGACAGCATGCTCATAGCGCAGACAAGATAGAATTTAGGAGTCACTTGTAAAACATAGAGAAAAGATATGTCTTTAGGTTTGCTTTGAAACATGTGACTGTTGGGTATAAGGAATACTGGTTGTCTCTATAGTACTGGCAGTTACAGATGTAGTTGTAATGAGAATGGTCGTCGTCGCTATGGTACTAGCAGTTACGAATGCAGTTGACGATAAAATGGTCGTAGTTTGTATGTCGCTAGCAGTTACAGATGTAGTTGTAATGAAAATGGTCGTCGTCGCTATGGTACTAGCAGTTACGAATGCAGTTGACGATAAAATGGTCGTAGTTTGTATGTCGCTAGCAGTTACAGATGTAGTTGTAATGAAAATGGTCGTCGTCGCTATGGTACTAGCAGTTACGAATGCAGTTGACGATAAAATGGTCGTAGTTTGTATGTCGCAAGCAGTTACAAATGTAGTTGTAATGAAAATGGTCGTCGTCGCTATGGTACTAGCAGTTACGAATGCAGTTGACGATAAAATGGTCGTCGTCGCTATGGTACTAGCAGTTACGAATGCAGTTGACGATAAAATGGTCGCAGTTTGTATGTCGTTAGCAGTTACAGATGCAGTTGTAATGAAAATGGTCGTCGCGGCTGTGTTGCTAGTAGTTACCGATGTTGTTGTCATGACAATCACCGCCGCTGCTACGGCACTGTCACATACAGTGGCAATAACTATAGTGACTAATCAAGTGGTATATATCGTTAATAACTAGAGTCTATATAAGCATAAAGTAAGGTGATGGAAAACACACTCCCCTTATCATCAACAGGGTCCGAGTACGGCCTTGTTGTTACACCGAAGGAACTGAACACTTTCGCACAAAGTATCTGGGACAACGACGTCAGCAGAATCGACCCCAGCCTCTATACACTGAGCTACCAAGGACAGAGAATTTCTCCCGATTTTACTGATGGCTCACCGGATAGGTCAGTAAACATACTCTCTCTTCACTGTTCCCAGCTGGAGAAGCGAACACAGGTTTTCGGTGACAAAGGTAACCACTTCAACCATATAGCCAACACAGAAAAAAGTTCCGCGAACACCAGAGATGAGCACGCATATGGCAATTTGAACGTCTTGAACGTGAAATTAAACCCTATTTCATTTCAAACCGTGCATTATCTTGACGAGTTATTGTATATATTTTAAAGGTTATGGTATCACGTAAACAGAAGAAATTCGAAAACAAACTAAAGTGAAAATTGAATTTGAATATGAATATGAATTACCTGTCGTGGGAGGCGTGGAATGAAAACGCATGCTAAGGTTTTTAAAGGTTACGCTGACCGACTTTACCTTACCCTTCAGAAAATTTCACTTCGGAGCATGAAATCAAACATGGTCTTCTACAACTCTTCTGTGAAACTTCTGATCGTTTACAGATCGTTGTCACTGGTTGCCTTGACGTCAACTTTAAATGACGTCACTAGACACGCTACCACTGAAGCTGGTTCGCTGCTGTCTCCACACTTTAGATGCTGGTTACTCTTCATAAACTGAAAACGTTGGCTACGATGGGTGTCCCAAAAGTAGTCGGAGTCACTTTGAAAATTATACAAATGCAGCTGTTTTTATGTTTATTTTTCTACATATTATCTGTCAACCTCAAGCAAATTGCTTTTGCCATGTTCCAGCCTCACGATCCGCATTTTGTTTGACTCTTTTTCTTGGTACCCCAAAAACCCGCAAAATCTGTAATAAATGCATCACAAACTTCAGGAAACAAAATATGCAAGAGACATTTTATGTGTTTGAGACAGGCAGAAGTCCTCTAGAATCAAACGTAGATATTAAAGTGCATAAAAATGCAATTTGCAACTGCAACCGCTTGTTAAAGTGACTTCCCCCATGATGTATACTGAAAGAGTTTGTTTTGAGACACTACCTAACCCCTTTCACATGACGTAATCATAAGGACATCATTTATTCTTATGTTTATACTTACTCATACATGATGCCAAGGGTTCAAACTAACTAGTGAATGGTCACACAAGTGTCAGCTCACAATATATTGTAAACAGTGCCAGCTTGAATATCTGGACACAATGTTTTTGAAAGATTAAATGGGGGTGTCCTTTAAAAACAGCCCCGTCTAAATGTAAATCAAGCAATATAAATCTTTGAATGTTGACTATGACGGGAAGTCATCCAATACTATACTGAACATATTTTATATAATATTATCTGAGGATATACCATTATCCAAGATGTACAAATGACAGATCGCTTTATACTTTTAAAGAAATACTATAACCCAATGTGTTGTGATGACTAATATCTAGTTAAACACATTACCCACATATGTAAACTTTGGGATATGACTTTGCTGATGATTCCTTCAAAATAATATGGAAGCTTTTCTAACATTGGACATCGAGAATATAGTTAGGCCGATTACTTTGGGGACGCCCCTCGTATAATGTCACCAATGTGTCATTTGAACAATTAAAAGTTCATAATTTCTTGGCGATTTATTATGGGGTTTCAGTCACTTACGAAACATTCTTTGTAGTACCCCTCTGATAATTGTAAATCGGCACGGTTCCCACGGCCGAAAGTTATGAATACACATTGCCGTTTAGAAAGAGGTACACAAAGTCCGAGGTCTAGACTACCAGTTGTCCGACTTCCATTTTTGTTGAAGCCGCGGTGGCTGACTGTGTTAAACGGCTGACTTTGTGTGCTGGCGATAGGTGCCTTACTCAAATGGTGTGAGTTCGAATCCCGGATGGGACTCAACCTGACAAAAGTACCAGAATCTGTACAATACTGCGAAAGTGTAATCCCCAAAAGTGGCATTGAGTGTTCAGTGTCTATATAACGCAAAACCTATGACCCGGCGATGTTGCTAACTATTCCTGTCTCTCTATGTCAGTGTGCTTTACACAATCATGTACAGATTCATCCAGCCGGTGGACACACAACTGGACGGCATCCTCAGCTCCTCCAACTCCACCTACGCAACCTTCATAAAACTCCTGGACAACTACGAAGTCAACGTGCAGCACGATGAGCACCGTCCGCTGCATGAGATTAGAGAGGAAGAAAACTTCTGGGACACCATCATCCAATCGCAGGTCATGCAGCTCACCTTCCAGTTCCTGGTAAATAATGGTACGAACACGTTGGGTATATTCCAACATTTTTATGTAGATGTCAGCTCTCCTGTACGCCATATGGTCTTCTAAGGGGCCTTCATCGATAGTTATGCAAGAACTGCTGTATACCAAGGTAACTTCGAGGATCTTAAGCGATACTTGCGTAATATATGTGACTTGAATCGCCTTCGTCGAGAATTGCACTATGACAACCTTTAACGTAAGCGACTTAAAGGATCTTCATCAATCTTTGCACAACGACAACCTTTTAGGTGAGTTACAAAGATGATCTTCAACATTAATTGCGCCACTACAGAACACGTAAGTGACCTGGATTATCTTCAACAATAGTTGCGCCACAACTGTCGTATGCGTATGTTAATTGGAGGATCTTCAACAATAGTTGCGCCACGACTATCGTACACGTAAGTGACCTGAAGGATCTTCAACAATAGTTGTGCCACGACTATCGTATGCGTAAGTTAATTGGAGGATATTCAACAATAGTTGCGCTACGACTATCGAATACGTAAGCTAATTGGAGGTTCTTCATCAGGCGTTTCGCCAAAACTATCGTACACGTAAGTGACCTGGAGGTTCTTCATCAAGCGTTGCGCCAAAACTATCGTACACGTAAGTTACCTGGAGGTTCTTCATCAATAGTTGTGCCAAGACTACCGTACACGTAAGTTACCTGGAGGTTCTTCATCAATAGTTGCGCTACGACTATCGAACACGTAAGTGATCTGGAGTATCTCCATCAATAGTTGCGCTACGACTATCGTACACGTAAGTGACCTGAAGGAACTTCATGAACAGTTGTGCCACGACTATCGTACACGTGAGTGACCTGGAGGAACTTCATCATTAGTTGTGCTACGACTAACGTACACGTAAGTGACCTGGAGGAACTTCATCAGTAGTTGTGCTACTACTGCCGTACACGTAAGTGACCTGGATGATCTTCATCAATAGTTGCGCTACGACTATCGTACACGTAAGTGACCTGGAGAAACTTCATCAATAGTTGCGCTACGACTACCGTACACGTAAGTGACCTGGAGGAACTTCATCAGTAGTTGTGCTACTACTGCCGTACACGTAAGTGACCTGGAGGATCTTCATCAATAGTTGCGCTACGACTATCGTACACGTATGTGACCTGGAGAAACTTCAGCAATAGTTGCGCTACGACTACCGTACACGTAAGTGACCTGGACGAACTTCATCAATAGTTGCGCTACGACTATCGTACACGTGAGTGACCTGGAGGAACTTCATCAATAGTTGCGCTACGACTATTGTACACGTATGTTAACTTGGGGAACTTCATCAACAGTTGTGCCACTGCTACCGTACACGTTAACTTGAGAATCTTAAGCAATAGTTGCGCCACAACTACCGTGCACGTTAGTGACCTGGAAGACCTTCAGCAATATCATTGTATACGGAATTCGTACCTGACGTGGGATATCTTCGCTGCGACACTTCGCTAAATGAGACAGTTTAGTTTTACGCAACTTTTGTCAATATTACAGCAATATCACGGCTGGGGACAGAAGAAATGGGCTTCACCTATTGTGCCCATGTGAGGAATCGAACCCGGGTCTTCGGAGTGACGAGCGAACGCCTTAACCACGAGTCTACCCCACCGCCGTTATATGCAATGAAGCCATGTATATGTCCGGGAGTAATAGCTGCACTATAACCTCGTGGAGGTATTACACTCGGTTTACCAACACAGCCTACATGTCATAATTACTGCTAGACTAAGTAATTCCAGTACTGTTTCAGCTACATCACTTCTTGAAATGATTTTACTTTTACCAAACCCTTTGAACCCTTTAAAAGCAGACACATTCACTAAGTTGTTTGTTTCAGGCTTCATAAAGAGCGACATGCACGCATTCCGCACCGTCATCAATGAACTGTGGTTCGAACTCTATCCAAAGCATCAAGCTGCTGCGAAATCGGACAGTGGATTCGAACACATCATGATAGGCGAGAAGACTGTGCATCATCAACACACCCAACAGAACAAACCGCCACCATCGGCGGCTTCGGCAACTGGCTACAGTTCTACCAGGAAGAGAAGGCTGGGAATCTGGATTACTACGGTTATGTCAAGTATACCCAGGTATGTATGTAGGTATAACGAACTGGTGCCTTAAAGAAAGGAAAGACCATTTAATATTAATGGTTCGGTTCGCACTGGTAATTTGGGATGGAGTCAGGCATTGGTGGGTGAGTTTGTCAAAAAAAACCCATAAAATCAGGGTGGATGTCCTACTAAAAACTGTTATTCGATTCCTGTTTTTATATCGAAACTGTTTTCGAGCTAGTAACGAGACAAAATCCCTATCTGTAACAAACCTTCACAGCACTATTCCCAACATCCCAAACATTATCGACCGCCTCCGTGGTGTAGTGGTTAGAGCGTCCGCCCGGAGAGCGGAAGGTCGCGGGTTCGATCCCCGACCGCGTCATACCAAAAGACGTTAAAATATGGTACTTGTTGGTCCCTGCCTGGCGCTCGGCATTAATGGGTACAACAAGGACTGGTAGGCTCGGAGTCAGTATAATGTGTCTGTGTGGGGTATTCATGCTTCACTGCGGCATGGTATCTCAGTGAGCTAGCACTATAAAACCAGCTTAAGTCTGGGCTAGTACAAGCAGCCGCACTTACACATACACACGCATGCACGTCGTCATATGAGCGAAATATTCTCAAGCACGACGTTAAACCCAATTTCACCTCACCTCACCTTACATTATCAAATGGTGGTTTAGGTATCAAATAACCGGTACCTTAAATGAAACATGTCGTCATAGTCCAAGAATATGCATTTATTGAAGTAGATTGTCGCCATTGTTTGGCAAGTGCCATTACGTATGATTTCATATAATACTGATGCAATCTAGCAACATTGTGTTGGCTTAGTGTAGAAAATATTACTACTTTCCTTCGTCATATCTTCGGAGCTGCTGCCTCTACATTTAATGTTGGTTCGTCTTGGCTCCATTTTGGGTCGCATGTCTTTTTGTGTTCAACATCATCATTAATAAATGACGGCAATGATACTAGTACATGATGGAAACTGACTGACTGACTGATTGAGTTTTGGTTTTACGCCGCTTTTAGCAATATTCCAGCAACATCGCGGCGGGGGACACCAGAAATGGGCTTCACACATTGTGCCCATGTGGGGATTCGAACCCGGGTCCTCGGCGTGACGAGCCAACGCTTTAACCATTAGGCTACCCCACCGCCCCACATGATGGAAACATAAACATATTAGGCTTGGAAAACGATACCACATGCATAAGTGTACATTCTGACTGACGCGACCTTCCCTACCAGCACGGTCAAGGGTAGCGGCAGGACAATGTGAAGGTTACCGTAGGAACAATTATATCTGATACTGAACAGACTAACTTCTAGTTTCAGAGAAAAACTGTTCTTAAGTTATCTAAATAAAAAATAATACAAAAGAGACCAGAGACTAGATACGTACTTCATTACCCGAAACCGAAACTGCAGTAATCTAGACTTGCCAAGTATATTAGGCCATCACGGGCTGTATTGGATATACCCGTCGCATGGTTCGTAGGACAGAATAGTCAGACAGACAGACAGACACTTTATTCGGTAATATACGGCCTTATGGCCCATTTTACAGTTGATATATAATGTGGGGTTTTTTTAATGTCACGTGAGCACAAATTGAAATAGTTATCTAGCAATCAATATATGTTTTAACAATGTTGCAACTGCATGTAAAACAAGAGGATTGTGAGAGTTTAATAAATTTACCATTAACATATTGTTTTTATGGACAATAGTCCCAGACATGATGAATGAATCCAAGGGGGTTATACACGCGTTTAAAATCTGTTCCAGAACCCTCATGTCGTGGACGTTGTCTTCAACTGGAAGGGTGCTCTTGCTAAAGGGAAAGCGTTCTTTGTCGGAACAAGCCCTGAGTTTGATCTAGCCTTGTACACCGTGTGCGGTCTGGCCTTTCCAAACAAGGCTTGCTCTTTTGTCATCAACGGCCAAAACTACAGAGTAACGGCTACCTTGGCGCGACACCAGGAGGTAGAGCAGCTCACGTCAGTGGGTCTGGCTTTCAAAGACCCTTCAGCAGTTACCTCCCCGGCACCGTACTAACTGTAAGAAGTGTATTGAATAAACACTGCGTGTAGTGCTATTTTTTCATTCTTCAGCTCCGCCTTTTATATTATGAACACGTATGAACCGGGATCATCATTACCATAACAGGTATTTAAAACCTCGTTAATCGTACAATATACATTATTGTTAAACCTTGGGAATCTGGACATTTTCTATACGAAAATATTGACGTCGTCCAGATTAGTAGCCAGAAAGCATCACTGATTAACGAAAAAAGAGTTCATAAACCGTATCCTTTAGTTTTGTAGAAAGATTCGAAGATAATGAAGATGAAGACGGTCCGGAAGATGGGTTTCCAGGTTTGCGGGGTTCCGACTGATGAGTTCACTGTATTTTGATTGGTTTGAAGAGAGTTTTCAGAGACCTGGATCTATTCATGATAACGTACACTATTCCGTGTCAATGGACTAATTTGAGAAACGATGACAATCAATTAATATAAATATGAGTTTTATTAAGGACACCAATGAGACCGCTTCATGTGTACATATTTAGATCTGAGTAACTATAAAGATTTAGAGAGATAAAAACTCTCCACAGGGTTGTATGACAAGAGGGGTGGCTTCAGCTTCCATAGTCAACTTTCCCTTTATGCAATATTCCAACACATTCAACCTTTGGAGTTTACATTTCACAACTTTTGGGGTACAATTGAGCACGCTCTATTTATCACGTTTTCAAAGAGCGCAATACGACTTTTGTTCTGTATAACAGATATAGAGAACATTTCGAATCAGTTACAAAAATTCTGTCCTGTTCGCTTCAATATTTTGACTTGTATCATACGCTCCCGTGTTTGTTTTCAGGTGAACAACTGACTATCGTTTGTATTTGTTTATGACGGGTGCTTGGTAATACATACACACACGATCATGATATAGTCGGAATTATACAATCGACTCTGAGATTTTTAAATGGATGTGGGAAGGGTTTTGATGCATTATCTGCAGTACGTTAGAATTACTTTAGGGCGATTGAAGACAATACTATGGGTGCACTTCAAGACTAACGCTTAGTCTCTGAATGTATATAAATGTTTTTAGAAACAAATAATTCCATTTAAATTTAAAAGGAGTCCCAGTGCGATGGAGATTCATCACCCGAGGGAATCTAGACTTGCTTCATTTAGTACTTTAGCATTGCGGTAAGGGCTGACAGGGAAGTACTGTGATACTGTTCAGGGACTGTGAGACAGACTTGTGCACTAGGTCTTCGTATACTCTTAATTCAAATACAGAGAGGAAAATTTATTTAGATACGTTACATTGAAACCAATGGACAGAGCTCAATAAACCAAATATACAAATGTGAAAATAACGCACGTATTGTGTCAGTTGTGTAAGGTTTTCGGGTCACAGACAGGTGTCTGGATATTAATCTAATCTTGTACAGCACAACTGGAAGTACATGTGATCATGACCTAGCTATCAAGCGTTCGTGACATAGGCATAGCATGACATAGGCATAGCATTATTTATATGGCGTATTTATCTGATATTGTTGTGTGTTTGTTTGATGTTTGTTTCACGTCGCACACAACGATATATATATCGGCGATCTTGATCCTTAACCGGACAATTCAATGGCTGACATCGTTGACATCTTACACACAATTGACAAACGCCATCAAACACTCAAAGGCCGGGCTAGACCACTCAACCCATTTATGGACCTCAAACGACAGGCACATGTTGTTGGGGACCAGGAGGTGTGTTTAATGAGTCAATTATTATGAGCCAGTTATTCATGATCTATCAACTTATACTTTTTGTCATAAGTCGTAAGTGACTACATTCTTTTCTAAACAGGCGCCATTTCACATAAAAGGGTAGCCAGACATAATAGGGACGTTCGAACGCCGAACGATTCAGATACAAAATCACAGTTTTTGTAACCCTTTGGAGACAAACTCAGCATCTACCATTAAATCAGCTTGTGCTCTCGGATTAGCAAGAAGCTTTAGTTATAGACAATTCGTATCATTATTTTAGGGAATACCTAAACTGGACGATGTTTCTGAGAAAAGGCCAATTTGTGTGCAATATTTTCAAAGCCATGTTTTTGTAAACATGGTTATTTCCGATGTCGTGGCCCAATAAGAAACAGTAACTTCAGGACTGGGTTTGAGAAATGTATGAGTTAGGATTGAATGTATGTAAAAATAATTGATATGAACCATTCCAAAAGGATGCAAGAGTACGAACATAAACAATCACATTTAACTTCAACCATACATTATGTTCACGTAAGTTTCTTTACAAGAGCAATGAGCGATACTCACACTATATAAGGGCATTCAGTAATCAAGGCATTCCAGTGATTGACATCATGAGCATCGATCTAAGCAACTGGGATACGATGACATACATCAACCAAGTCAGCCAGACCACTCGATCACGTTAGTGGCCTCTTAAGACAAGCGTGGGTTGCTGAAGAAACAGCTAACAAGGATTTTCACGAATTCCTTGGAAGAAAAGGCAGTCGTGCCAAGCCATTGTGTTGTTTAGTTGTTTAGTTGTCAATATGTGCCATCGATCAGCCAGGTATGATACTGCGACAATCTAATCCTCATCTGATGCCTTATAAGGAGATAGTTCTATAAGTAGAGCGGCAAAACTGACAAATAGTCACTTTAATGATAAAAGCATAAAACTTTGCACATTTATTGACCGATGCATAGTGAACATTTTCATGTAACATATGTTATATTTGGGATTACACTTTCTTAGTAAAGTACAAATTCTAGTACTTTTTGAGTTGAGCCCCATCCGGGGTTCGAACTCACACCCTCAGGCACCTAATCGCCAGCACACAAAGTCAGCCGCCTAATCCGCTCAGCTACCGCGACTTCCACAAAAATGTAAGTCGGACAACTGGTAGTCTAGACTGCAGACTTTGTGTACCCCTCTGATAAGTGTTAATGGGCACGGCTCCCACGGCCGAAAGCTATGATTACACAATGCCATTTAGAAAGTGCTGAAATGTAACATATGTTATATTTGGGATTACACTTTCTTAGTAAAGTACAAATTCTAGTACTTTTTGAGTTGAGCCCCATCCGGGATTCGAACTCACACCCTTTTCAGATGTGGAGGCACCCAAAATTATTTGTTGCGCATGCGCAGAAGGTTGTTTGGTGTTAACAAACAGCGATATTCCTGCTTCCTCCTGCTAAATGGAAGCGGTCTGTAGATAATCGACTCTGGACCAGACAATCAAGTGATCGACAACATGATCATCGATCTACGCAGTTGGGATATGATGGCATATGTCAACCAAGTCTGACAAAGTCTGACCACCCGATCCTGTTGTCTAACCTGAATCGTCATGGGTCTAAAAATTGACATCAGCCTCCCACAAACCCTCGAGTTACACAAACGCGCCGTCACACATAGACCCATGGCAAGCCTACAGTAGAATAGTACACTCAACATAAGGAAACGTGCTGTATTCGCTTTAAGAGGATGTGCATTGCTGTGGAGCAGCGTTCTTGTATCGGGCCGGCAGTTTCAAATATTTGTAGGCCCTTGTGGCCTTCAGTAAATTATCTGTCTTTTTTTCCAACAGGAATCTTTCCCTTATTTATTTTCTTTATTAACGTTTGGGAATCATCCATGATTCACCATGTTACGATAACTTACAGTTTCACTTCCTGGTATTTCAGCGCTTTGTGCATAGGAATGTCAACATCAGTTTTTAACAAATAAAAACGTCTCTCTGCGCCATAGGCTTCGCTAACTGATTTTGTAGAAACAGTGTGAAACTGTGTACAGTGTAGTTTATTTTGTTTTTATTGGTTTGACTTTAACAAAATGGGCCTGCAGATTTCATTCAGGGCCTATAGATTTTAAAGCCTGCAGGCGGCAGCAGGCCCTGATGGCCAACCGGCAAAGTAAAGTAGTGCATACACTACTGTGTTAGCGAGAATGACCACCCGATCCCCGTAGTCGCCTCTTACGACAAGCATGGATTCCAGAATACCAATTCAAACTCGCATCTTCACGGGCGTTTGCAGAAGGTAAATAATGCTTTGCCTTTGCTCGCTACTGTTTTAGCTTTGGAAAGGCCATCAATGCATTACAGGGAAAGTTTAACCAAAATAGTAATTGCCCACATATTCTGGTTAAATGACTCCAGTGCATTAAAGTGACGCCTGTTGCTCTTGCATATGTTGTTGCACCCCTTTCTGCAGCCACAAGAGACCATCTCCTGACAAGACATTGATGCTTGGTGAAGTGTTGTCCATTAGGGAACATATTTCCTGCTGTATCCAGAGTTAAGGCTGTGAAAGAAGTGACTTATCCCCTTTATGTCCTGGTAAAGTGTTTATACATGCAGTACAGGAGCTGCATGAGTTGGTGGGGTGACAGTTTTGAGCGTTAATGCAAGGACTACAGCATCTGCAGCTACTGTTCGTAACATAATCTTTTCATGGCCATGTACTATGATGTGAATATCGGTTTCTTGGTGACTGCAAGGACAAATGAAGTCATATTCATCAAATGTTTTGACAGCATCAGGTTTTAACTTTAGAACAGTGACAGTTGGCTCTTTTGATATTGCTGTAACATGTGGTTCTCTATGTGCCAACAGGTCACGTTTCGTACCAGTGCGAAAGCATCCGTTTTCTAATAGGGATGGTGTCACTTGCAGATCAAAATCATCTAAATCTAAATGACTGTCGCCTAGTGTACACTCTGATAAGAGTTCCACGTCACTCTTAATTGTTTCCAGCTCTTCTTTACCCCTTACACGGCCTTTATCAATCAAATTTAAAATAATAGGTACAAGACACATACTGTTACTCGGCTTTTTTCTGTCCACAAACTTTCCTTTGTAAAGGTCTCAAACTGCTCTTTTCCCATGATGCCATGTGGTGCATACATTTCAAAATTGCAGTATGTGCGCTACAATTTCCTGAAATGATTTAAGAGACGGAAGTACTTGACAAGGCAAGACACAGACGTTCTGAAAATACATGATGGCAAGCTATTGGCTTACATGATGCAGGGATGTCCTGTCGTAACATTGGTGCTTTACCACAGCTGTTAGTCCACATACGGATAATCTTGTGGCCCACGAGGAACCAGGTGGCCACCGGTGAAGTAAAGTGTCGTCCAAGTCCTGGCAGACTGAGGAACACCAATGACCATGATAAACGGGTGTAAGTTCGTCTGACAAGACATCAGTATGATAAACCATGTCGAAGAACTGCAGGGAGGAGTGGAAGTCTCTCAGACTCCCCATCATTACCATCAGAAGGAGGATGCGACGTCTGAGTGTACGTCGTCCGATCAGACGTCCCTTTCTCACAGGTGGGAACAGGCAGAAACATCTGGTGTGGTGCAAACTTCAAGAACTGCAACCTGAGGAAATGGCGTAGGGTTCTTTGGTCTCATGAAGGTGGCTTTCTTCCACAAGTTGCCCACGGCCGTTGTCACTATACAGACGTCGTATCATCAGGAGATGCAGCTGAACCCAACAGTGAGGGTGTGGGGTTGCGTTTCGTATGGCAGCCAGTTGGATCTCATTATAGTACCTAAGAAACACAAGGGTCAACTTTTTCAACAGGAAGTACTGATACGGCCATGGGGCCACATTGTTGTTAACTTTGTCAATCGTCAGATATTCATGGATGACAACGCTTGCCATGGCCGTCTCGTGCCCTCATCGCCCTTGTTAGAGAGCATTCCATCGAAAAATGGCCATGGCCCGCAAGGAGCTCCGATATAAACCTCATTGAACATTTTTCGGACTATGTTAGATGCCAAGTTCGAGCTGGACGATATCCTGTTTGAAGTGATAGTGAAGTGAAGAATAGGGAGTGCCTCATACACTGTATCTTGAATGGCAGAGGAATCAGATGCTGAGTCCGAGGGATGGCTACACATGATACTGGTGTGGTCGTCTCTGGTGGTTCATACAATCAGAACAACCATTGTCTAAAAACTGTGCGACAGTCAGATTTCTGGGGTAGTCATGGTGACCATACTTTCAAGCATTGTTGATGTTCACGTTTTGTGTATACTTCTCAGATTGCAGTAATGTGTTATCATGTTTCAATTTCAGTTTTGGTTTTGTTGAAATCAGAGTAAAATGTGTTACAGTTACCATTTTAATCCGTGTAATATAGGCTTTCAAAGCATATGCACCAACATGTGTCTTCGTACTCATGTTAAATAAGTGGGTTATTGCACTATTAATGTTCATGGATATATTTCATTATGCCCTTGAGCTTGAAGTCCAAATTTATTATCGTAACTTGTCATTTGTATAACTGCCACGGGGCCTGTAAGCGAAGACGATTAAATGTGTCACTATGAGTTTTCAATTTCTGATAAAATATTCTATGAATATAAACTTAATGTATTATCATCAACCATCTTGAAAACCAAAACCTCACAACTTAATTATGCTGAAATGGTATTTTCTCAAGGAAACGTATGGAAAATATTTTATCGGACATTTGTAAATTCGAATTAGACAAAATTGTAACTGAATTGCAATAATTCAATTGGTGTTGTTTTTTTAAATATTAAACAATAAAAGTGCGGTTTAGTGATGTTTACTGGAATAAAAAAAATGATAAAATAGTGACTGCTCCCTTGCGAAAGACAAATCTGGCTTTATCTGCCACACTTGCCCTTGAGTCTAATAACTTAAAGAATTTATGATTAAAAATATCCAGAAACTTTAACTTATGAATTATTGTCCTGGAGTTCTTTTGCCAAATAGTACATGCATTTTCAATTAGTATTGATGAGATGAAACCATAACATACTTATCTTTTGTCATGGAGCTCCATATTCGAAAAGCTGTCTGCTACCTGCCATTTTAGATGGAAGGAACATTTGTATTTTCTAGATATTTTTATTTAATGTAAATTAACTAATTCTCTTCTTTTCCAGTACCTTTAAACAATTAATTGTGAAATTATTGGTTTGTAATGATTGCCTATGCTGACTATGTAATAGGAAACAATAAAAACAGTACGACATTTTTTGTCTACTGCACATGCGCACACGGACATAAAAATATGTGCCTCCATATCTGAAATTATTTTCAAATTATGTTCTTGAAAATGATGACCAATATTTGTGCTTTTATCATTAAATGCAAACTTTTAATGGAAACTTGATCTTAGCCGCTTCACTATATGGATATTCTTTGTTATTACAAGGAGTGCGGCGAAACGAAGAGGTTGTATATCCATAGAATTATCTCTTGTTTATCATACCAGTTCCAAATGTTATGTCATTGGTAAGGATGAAAAGATGATGTCTCTTCAAGCATTGGATATCGTCACGATATGGCTGAAATATTGCCGATGTGACGTTAAATAATAACTCACTCACTCACTCAAGCATGGGATGGATAAGTGGAACTTAGTACTGAAACCAAGGGCAAACCGTGCTCGTGACAAGATGCATGATGCTGTTTCACTGTTTTGCAATATTCCAGCAATATCACGGAGGGGGACACCAGAAATGGGTTTCACTCACTGTACCCACGTGGGGAATCGAATCCTGGTCGTTGGCGTGACAAGCGAACGCTTTAACCACTTGGCTACCCCATCGTCCCTCACTATGGAATAGGTATGGAATATGCCTTAATTCCTGACACGTTGCTACGTAGTACAACAAATCAATATATATACCGCGTATGATGAGTGAAGGAGTGAGTGAGTTGGGTTCTATGTCACTCTTTGCAATATTCCAGCAATATCACGGCGAGGGACACCAGGTTTGGGCTTCACATTTTGTGCCATGTGGGGAATCGAAACCGGGTCTTCGTCGTGACGAGCGAACGCCTTAACAACTAGGTTATCTCACAAGGTAAGAGAAAAAACAAATAACTTGTAAGAGATGTAAACGTCTTTGGTAATAGCCTCAAGCAACTGTTTTCGATATCAAATCAAGAATCATTTTGATTCATATCGCAGCAGTGTCCAGTGATACTACATAGCACAGGATGAAGTCCATGTGATGTGATGTTTGAATAGTTTTAAGATGTTTATGTTTCTATTGTATCCATTGTCCGGGTGTGCTGTCAGGTTGCTGTCGTGACGTTAGGCACTATTCACATGGTCACTCATTCTTGTGGCACGTCACAAAGATGCCTGTCGTCAAATCTCAACAAAGTCGCAACCACAAATAACGGCACAAAGTCGAAGTGTACACAGGTTTAATCTTCACTCAGACACACTCATTCTTGTGGCACGTCACAAAAATTCCTGTCGTCAAATCTCAACAAAGTCGCAACCACAAATAACGGCACAAAGTCGAAGTGTACACAGGTTTAATCTTCACTCAGACACAAGCATGGAACTCTTCAGGCGGACTCTAGTCGATTTACCCCCAACAACAGATGATGCACATAGTTGCACCATAGCCTATAGGTATTTTGCAATGTAAAACAATCTTTTTACGTTCAGTCTGCACGTGTACTGTGTCAAGGCCCTGGACGCCTTGTTATTATGGATATGGTGCAGGCTGTGTTCAGAAGCCTTGGCATTAGAAATAAATACATTTTAACATATTTGGTATCAGGTGTTGTTATAGGAAGTACATTCTTACTGCAATGACAAAAACTTCAGTTGACCATTGCAGCATAGCATGTACCGGATACTGCTTTTTTGAGAGTCTTTCTTAGGTGGACCAATAGCTCATAAATATTGATACATAGTTTTTAAATAACTGAATTACCTAAGTCATCGATGGCTTGTTGGACGGGAATTTAACATGACCTATATCATAACCCAGGACACATGGGGCGATAGGTTATCTGACCTGTGCTTGGGAAAGAACACATCAGGTAACCTTTACTACTCCGTCTTAAATGTCTGTACGAATAAACACCTAGTTTACGCAGGTAGTTTGAGTATGTTACTTTCATAATCTGGTTAATAACGCCAGCAATGATCCAAAAAGGCATTCCAAATCAAAAAATGTATTTTCTTATGTTTTTGTTGTTGTTGTTGTTTTGTTTTTGTGAAACAGTTATATGAAATAGTATCTGATGAGACAACCAGTTTCTTTGAACGGAGCAGTATTTGTTGTAGGAATTCTCTTATAAGAGTCCAGATTCTTGTTCTTGATCTGTTTCACACGTCCGTCATGAAGCTTGGTGCGAACCTTTTGGTCGTCGTTGGCATCGTTGCTGGGGCTCAAGGCCTGTTGCTGCAGCGTCAAGGTACATCTACATTGACCATTCCGTACTCATTCAATCCTTCTTCTTATGAACTTGTCACTGACTGATTGATAATGATTGACTATCACTATTTTAAATGCAGAAAACGTGATTGTTTTGTTTATGTATTCTGAACCAGGATTTAGTGTTGTATAATATGTATAATATATTTGTATGAGCGAATGAGTTTAGTTTGACGCCGCTTTTAGCAATATTCCAGCAATATCACGGCGGGGACACCAGAAATGGGCTTCACACAATGTGCCCATGATATATTTGTATTATATCGAACACTGAATGTATTCATTACAGCATGCAAAGCACTTCAAAAAGTCTGGTCAAAGTTTCATTTAATCTTTTTTTTTTTTCCAATTCGAAAAAGGTATAATATATGCAGCAATTCTGCTAGGATCTGCTGATTGTTAAATTTAGTTCAAATCCTTGATTCACATATGGTCAATGGATTAAATGCACCATGTTGAATTAACTAAACTAGTTAACATGTCATCTGTATGGGAAAATTCCAAATAAACACAGGTGGCAGATCTTTACCACATTTATGAAACCGAATATTATACCGAGGCAAACCTGAGACACATACATATACCTATACCATGAATGGATTCGATATAAACCAATGTGCCTATCATTACATCAGGCGTTCGTGTTCATACACTGTCGTCTAACCTTCGAACCATACACACGTGCAATATAAATCTTCACATCTTCTTTATTGTTTCGTATTTCTCTGTATCAGGAACCTGTGCAAATCGTTGTTTTACCTCCAACGACTACACTTTCCCCTGCCAATGCGACTCCGACTGCGAAACCATCGGTAACTGCTGCGGAGATTTCTGGGCCAGATGCAGAGGTTAGTGTCAGATGGTTACCAATATGCTTCATGATCAGAGGTACAGGGTCAGTGTGCGAAATAGCCACTGGCCCGATAGCCCGTGGCTAGTAAACATCCAAGAATGCAAGATTATGGCCTGATAAAAATGTTCATCATATTAGCAGCTGAATGATGAAACCCGTGTCTACATTCAAATTTCGGGCCAGTGAATTATTTTGTGGGCTAGTAACTTACAGGCATAGCTAGCCCTTCTATCTAGCAAAATTTGGAAACTATTTCACACACTGTACAGGATTGGTCTTGTATTACAAGTGAAGTGTAGCAAGTAGTAGTTAGTCTTTATTCAACACTCAAAGGCCACACGTCTAGTGTACAATATATAGTAGTACAATATAGAACAGTTTATATATGATATTGATAATTATTATGTTTTCATACAATTACGGTACTTGTTGGTCCCTGTCTGGCGCTCGGCATTAATGGGTACAATAAGGACTGGTCGGCTCGGAGTCAGTATAATGTGTCTGAGTGGGGTATTCATGCTTCACTGCGGCATGGTATCTCATAGTGGTACAATAGAGCACTATAAAAAACAGCTTCAGAATGGGCTTGTATTACAAGTGAAGCAGCAAGCCGCACATACACATACACACGGATGCACGTCGTCATATGAGCGAAATATTCTCAAGCACGACGTAAAACCCAATTTCACCTCACCTCACCTCACCTCATACAATTACGACGTTCAGACGATGCTCGATGGTGATTATTCGTTTCTGAGTTTCATAGCGTGATGTATAAACATAGCAACATTCTGAATCATATCATGGTTGTTGCAGTTTAATATTAAGGGAAAATAGTATCTATAGATGGATGGACACAATAAAATTATTTAAGGTACTTTCTACGTAGTTTATCATATAATGGACATACGAGTAAAAAGGGTATTCATTTTCTAAGACATTAATATTGCATGATTTACATAATCTATCTTCTCTTTTTATCTTCATAAATCTACCTTTATTAATCCACAAATCACGTGATGAGCAGCGAAAACGTGCTAAACTTATATTTCGTAGAAAAGGGAAGTTTTTCAAGCCAGTTTTGTTGGTATATATCTTTCAGTCTTTGCGTTAATAGACCCGTGAAGGTCCGGGTTAGAATGAATCTTCAGTAACCCATGCTTATCATAAGAGGATCGCTTGCTTGGTTGACACATGTCATCGGTTCCCAATTGCGCAGATCGATGCTCATGCTGTTGATCACTGGATTGTCTGGTCCAGACTAGATTATTTACAGACCACCTCCATATAGCTGGAATATTGCTGAGTGTGGTGTAAAACTAAACTCAATCACTCATTCACTTTGGGTAAATAAACTAAATTTAACAAACGTCGAGGGAAACTCAACAGACTGCTCATACCACATGCGATTAAAACCTGTTGTTAATGTAAGATTCTTTAATTCTGAAGGACCGCCTCTATGGTCTAATGGATAGAGTGTCTGCCCAGATCACGGACGGTCAGTGGTTCGAGTCCGTCAGCCTATAACAAGAAACGTTAAAGACGTTTCCATGCGTGGCGTTCGGCATTAATGTGACCAACCAAGGCCCTGTCGGCTCAGAGTGTACAGTATCTGGCATTAATTCATTAATTCAACCAGTACAAGCAGCCATGCGATTACGCGTTGCTATCTGGGTGCAATAATCGTGACATTAAACCCCAGTTCACATTCACCTCAACTCAACTCAGTTCAACTAAAGTTCAATATAACATCTATCACTTATGTCAAGGTCCTGAGTACGGTCTCGTGGTAACGTCCAAGGAACTGAATACCTTCGCCCAGAGTATATGGGACAGCGACGTAAACAGGGTGAGCGGCTCTCTGTATACGCTCAACTACCAGGGGATGACCACAGGCAAAGATACGGGTGATGGAGCAACCGACAAGTAAGTGTAATGCATTGCTTCACGTTTCAACAAGATTTAACTATCAAAATGTTTGATTTTGTGTATTTACGCCACAGTCACTCATGCTCCAGCTATATCAGCTCTGTCTGTTAAATAATTGACTCACCGTTTAATAATAAATATGAGCATTGTCCTGTGCATTGTGGTCACTGAAAAGGGCGGTGGGGTAGCCTAGTACTTAAAGTGAGTCATGCCGAAGACCTGGGTTCGATTCCCCATATGGGTACAATGTGGGAAGCCCATTTCTTGTTATCCCCATCGTGACATTGCTTGAATATCACTCACTCACTCACTCACTCACTCACTCACTGGTCACTGAACTTGACCACCCGATCTATTTGGTTGCCTCGAACAAAAAGCACTGCAATTATCCAGCAAGGGGGCGATGATATGATACAAATGAAAATATAGATGGACAAAACTTTGAAGAGTAGATAGATATTTAGGCCGCGACAGGAACCAATCTCATGATTAGATGTGACTTTAAAACGGGTCAGTGCTGTGGACAGAGCGTGAAAATGAACTAAAATTCGTTTTTTTTAACACTTAGTGACTTATCTATGACGCGGATCATCAACATATCACATCTGCAAATTTGCAGACAGTTTAATGCTATGGAAGCTTAAAACATCACGTTGTGTTGCCACTCACAGACTGATCAATGCAGTGGACAGTCAGCTGGACAATGTCCTTGCTGACCACAACACCAGCTATCCCTCGTTCATACACCTGCTAGACAACTACGCAACCAACGTCAACCACGCAGAACACCGACCAAGCCACGAAATCCAGGAGGAGAATCGGTTCTGGGACGCCATTTCCCAAACACAGGTCATGCAGATTACCTTCAAGTTCCTGGTAGACAATGGTGGGTCATGTCACAGAATTATCAGTATTTGTCCACCATGTTGTCCAGTGTTTCTTTATGTCAACGTCAAGTACCTAACGTCATTTGACATAGCTTTATGTCGTGTTTCCTTTGCTTAACTGAACTGTATATTTTTTATACTTTAATTTTCATTTATTTGTTTGTTTGTTTGTTTGTGCTTTGAATGGATAAATCCTAAGCAATATCTACCCTCCTCGATTCGAACGTTGCAGTTTGACATTCTATGCCAATACAGCCTGTGATACTAGCTATGTTTCTTAACACTTGTAATATCATGCATGCTTGTAATGGTGTGAGAGATTTTGGAGTGAGTGAGTAAAATATGACATTGCATCGGCACTGTATCAGCCATATAGCGAGGAGAGATTTCAGGAACACAGGCGGATACAGTATCAGCCATTCATGCTTGAATACTTGGCACTGAATGATTGGAATGAATGTGAGTTAAACATACATATATGTATTTCAACTCCTGTGCTTTTATCGATAGGTACAATTTGTAACTCTACGTTCATACAAACATTCCGTCTAAGGGACTCCCATATAGATTCTGTAGAAAGGGATTCTTTTCTTGAATGTATGTTAGTGTATGCATGAAACTCGTTTTTTAAAGAATAACGATGCGCATCAAACGATTTATTTGTGGGTTTTTTTCTTCCAAGAACCAACAACAGAAATTACACTCTTGGTTTTGTTTCAGGCTTTATGAAGAGTGATATGAAAGCCTTCCGCACCATTATCAACGAAATGTGGTTCGAACTTTATCCCGTGAAACATCACGCCTCAGCAGTGTCCGACAGTGGATTTGAACACATTATGGTCGGTGAAACGTTAACACACAAAGCAGGCAACACCACAGTCAGAGGATTTCATAACTGGGTACAGTTCTACCAGGAAGAGAAGGCTGGGAAGCTGGATTATGATGGATTTATCAAGTATGCACAGGTAAGCTACAGTGCCTATAACGATCACAGGTAAGCTACAGTGCCTATAACGAACACAGGTAAGCTACAGTGCCTATAACGAACACAGGTAAGCTACAGTGCCTATAACGAGCACAGGTAAGCTACAGTGCCTATAACGATCACAGGTAAGCTACAGTGCCTATAACGATCACAGGTTAGCTACAGTGCCTATAACGAACACAGGTAAGCTACAGTGCCTATAACGACCACAGGTAAGCTACAGTGCCTATAACGATCACAGGTAAGCTACAGTGCCTATAACGAACACAGGTAAGCTACAGTGCCTATAACGAACACAGGTAAGCTACAGTGCCTATAACGAGCACAGGTTTGCTACAGTGCCTATAACGAGCACAGGTAAGCTACAGTGCCTATAACGACCACAGGTTTGCTACAGTGCCTATAACCAGCACAGGTAAGCTACAGTGCCTATAACGGTCTTCTGGAAACAGACAGGGAGTGGGTGAAATACATGTATGTATGTCGAATAGGGGCGAGTAATGGTTCTGAGCCTGTGGGTTTATATAGTGTATATATAAGGGCTTTTGGGGGAGCGAGTCTCACGTAGTACCTCTGGGCGCGGATGGTGTATCGCAGTTGGTTGGGATAATTGTCTTATCAGGACATGTTTTTGGAGAGTAAAGGGTAAGGGAAAGTTTTGGGCGGGTGATGTATCAGGACCTGTGAGACGGGTGATGTATCAGGAACTGTGGACGGGTGATGTATCAGGACCTGTGGGACGGGTGATGTATCAGGAACTGTGGGACGGGTGATGTATCAGGAACTGTGGGACGGGTGATGTATCAGGACCTGTGGGACGGGTGATGTATCAGGAACTGTGGGACGGGTGATGTATCAGGAACTGTGGGACGGATGATGTATCAGGAACTGTGGGAAGGGTGATGTATCAGAAACTGTGATACGGGTGATGTATTTTTGCTGCCCTTAATCAACCATTTACTTAACAGGATCCCGATCTAGTAGACGTCCGTTTCAATTGGAAGAATGGTATTGCCAAGAGCTCATCTTTCTTCGTTGGAACAAGCCCGGAGTTCGATATGGCTCTGTACACAGTGTGTGCACTTGTTCACCCAAACAAGAATTGTCCCGTCACCATCAACGGCAAACACATCAGCATTATGACAACTACAGCACGGCATCAACAAATTCAACAACTGACATCAGTAAAGCCAAACTTCCACGGCACCAACGCCACTGCAAGCACTCAGTAGAATAGTCAGTCATTAAACTAAATTGTTCCTCTAGTCATCTCTTTGAGAATGTGTATGCCTTCACTGACTTTAAATATAGATTCTTATCTACTGTAAATCACGAAATCTTTGCGTCACGATATTTTGGGGAGTGGCGACCAACAGACGTTTCTGCGTCATGATATTTTTGCGACTTGCCTAATTCTCAAAAACCAATTGCAACTGAAAGTTCTGCCTAAGTAAATACAATCACAAAATATAATTAAAAGCAGCGATGTGGGCTCCATGGTTTATTTTGACATTATAAGTTATTGGCCATTTAGAACTACCTCAGTTTTCCCTTTTCCAGTCAAACGATTATCCTTTCAATAGTCAGTATTTCATCCTTATCAAATCCTTATCATTTGGAAATTGGTGTACAGTGAGGGCGGTGGGGAAGCCCAGTGGTGAAAGCTTTCGCTCCTCTATATCGACAGCCAGTCCTAATGACAATTGTTAAAAGCGGAGTTAATTCGGTTTCTGGTTAAACAAATCCTTACCCGATATTCAAATGAAACATCGTTAACTCGAATCCCTGACCATAAACGCAGATAGGTAATCGTCTTAAACGGTAAATCGAGTCAATGACATTTTATGTATCGGATTTATCAATACTTTGAAATGAGTGTTTTCACTCATTGAACTGAAAGGATCGAGGCCAGTACTATTCGAGACAGACGGAGTTTATTGCATGCCTCAATGGGAAGATTTACTGAGCTTCAGTGTTCTCTAAAGGAAATGTTCTGCGTTCTGGCCTCCGGCCCGTGACGTTGGAAGGAGTTGGATGTAGCGTGGACTTTTTGTCAGTATATGCTGCCTCCAATTTATCTTTTTTGGGGTGTGGTATTTTGTAGACATGAATACACTACTCAAATTACGGAGCACCTACAATTGGAAGGTTTTGCTGCGAAATTCCCATCAACCACGAACCGTCTCCGTGGTGTAGCGGTCAGAGCGCCCGCCCAGAGAGCAGAAGGTGGCAGGTTCGATCCCCGGTCGCGTCATACCAATAGATGTTAAATATGGTACTTCTTCTTCCCTGCCTGGCACTCGGCATTAATGGGTAAAACAATGACTAGGTCGGCCTCGGAGTCAGTATAATGTGGCTGTGTGGGGTATTCATGCTTAACTGCGGCATGGTATCTCAGTGGGCTAGCACTATAAAACCAGCTTCAGTCTGGGCTAGTACAAGCAGCCACACATACACACGCATGCACGTCGTCATATGAGCGAAATATTCTTAAGCACGACCTTAAATCCTATTTCACCTCGCCCATCAACCACGACATTCTTCAACTTCTTTGGATTAGAATAGTTTTAGATCGGATGGTCAAAATGACAAATCATTTCGACTAATGAACCGGATTAAACACCTGGTCCATCTATCATCAGGACCCGTGAAGATCCGAGTTGATCTTCGGTAACCCATGCGTGTCGCAAGAGGCGACTAACGGGATCGGGTGGTCAGGCTTCGCTGACTGTGTTGACACATTCCTTCGTATCCCAATGGCGTAGACCGATATGTTCATGATGTTGATCACTGGATGGTCTGGTCCATATCCGATTATTTACAGACCGCCGCCATATAGCTGGCATATTTCTGAGTGCGGCGTAAAACTAAACTCACTCACTCACTCTATCATCAGATCCATATTGTACCCGAGTCGTGCTCCAGCTCACTTCAAGTGATTCACCCGATCCAGGATCACTTGAAGTCAGGCTGATGTGAATGAATAGCATTTACCCATCGCAACACCGTCCTTCTTTCACTCATTCTTCCAATGTATAACAACAGCTTGATTAAAATAAATAAAATTTATTGCTATCATTTAAAATACATCAGAAAGATTAATACATTATTGATCTGCGATCATAATTCTCTTCAAATCAAAAGGCACATGATAAGTTGTCAACGTTCTCCTCATACGGTTTGACGTACGTACGCAGACAACAGAACGCCAAAGCAGCACGTGGCAGCAGCTATACTTCCACCGCAGTTGACAGTTCGCGCATAATCACGTGACATTCATCATTTGATCGTATGGACATTTTGGTTCCCACAGATTGGTCTTAAAACCATTTCAAAATATGAAAGATGCGACCATAAATAATTTTGATGACGTATGCTTTTGAACTCAATGCTGGATCAATTCTGAAATTCACGTAAGGGGTTTCATCAACCACACTTCAGACAAGAGGCCCAATTATTCATTAGGAATAACGGAACACTTTGGATAATCGTATTTTTTCCAAAAAGGCTAAATATGACTTGAAACTATAGTTACCTGAACACCAAATGGATACTCCACACTGACATGCTTGGTAGGGGCCAAACTATATTTAACAAAAACCCTAACTATGTACACACATAGGCTTACACCACATCTTTTCCCACTTATGTCTTTAACAGAAACAGAAATTTGATTATTTACACATTTTCGGTTAAATCCCCGAGTTAAAAATTAAATAAACACCTCGTATATTTAAAGGTCCCTGATCTAGACCGACACCTAAAATAACGACACCAATTAACATTAGTCCTAAAGGTCTGATATGTCTAAAAATAAACAAAGGGGTGTACTCACACATTGCATTCATGTCAATCCTATGTTAAGGAAGCATTAATTGACGGGTAAAATAATCCAACTACTAATTATTGACACAATGAAACGATCTGTTCACTTTCACCATTAACACAAAACGTTTTACGTTAGGGCATTTTCAACAATACTTATTACAAAATTTCCCTCCCCCATTGAAATGAAATCACAATTCCATGGCCTACATCGAAACACGCGACCTGAACTGGCCGCTATTGAAATATATCCACGAATACTTGCAGACCGTATATATATTGTAGAGGTGTGACGATACAGAAATTTCACGATACCATACGTATAGCTATATCTTACAACGATACGATTCATATCACGATATGCCATCTTTAGTTATTTTCTTTTAAAAAGTATATTTTGATAGCAAGTAACAGTGCAAATTTTTACATAACCGTCAATTTCTAGTGAAAAGTAACAATTTTAAGGTCAACAATTCATATCACGATACGGAAAAAAGTATCGATATATTTATCGTTAAATAAAGTATTACGATTATCGATACTAGGATATATCGTCACAGCTCTAAGATATATGATAGCATGATACTCGTTGATCAGTGGTAGTTAGTTTGCCTGCGAACCAGGCGAAACAACAGAATAAAGTGCAGCCGGTCATCTATCAACACAATGGGACCTTGCGAATCCAGACACCTTTATATTCGGGACAACAGGTGTGAACTGTAACACTTATTTCACAATGTTCTTGTTAATGCGGATACCTTAACATACGGAGTTCCCCTTGATCCTGGTGATTGCGCCCTTCCCCCCGACGATACATCACCCACAAAATCTAATACAGTTAGCAATATTATCTTATCACAAGTCCAACGGGAAGAATCTGATTGCGTCAATTAAACATAGAAGAATATGATATACAAGGCACATTGATATCATTATATCCACTGTGATATCATCCTATCCACATCGACATCATTACATCCACTGTTTATATCACGTTGTAACTATACACAAATATATATCTCAAACAATTCATATTTCTACAAAACCACAATGTTCTGCCATAATAAAAACGTCCCTTTCCGCAAAAAATAGCGCCAAATTTGTGAAAGTGACGTCCCATTTCGGCACGGCCCTGGATACACGAATGCGATGAAATAGCACTATTTGACGTTTATCTGTGTAGTATACAGTTACAAAAACATGCCATTTATTACACATTATGCTGCAAAACATGATAAGGTTATGTTAGTGTTTTAACTGTAAATCCATTTTCAACTATATATGTGCCCATCAATCTGGCTGCCATTGTACATAGCAGCCTTAGCGCTTTACGCCAGCCGTAAGTCTGTGCTAAGGTATGGGAGTTACGATCACCTTAGCGCTATACGCCAGCCGTAACTCTATGCTAAGGTATGGGAGTTATGATTACCTTAGCGCTGAGATCGCTTTGTACAACGGCACCCTGGTAGGATTGTCTGGGTTTTTTTACTAAACCAAATTACATAAAGGGTTTCATTTGGCCACACTGGATTTGTCAAAGGTAAATGACACGAGTCGGTTTACAGTAATAATCAAAGTAAATAACTAAAAGCAAAACATAAGTGCTTAAAAAAATAACCAAGCAGGACGTTATCTGTGAACGAGAAATCCAAGTTTCAGTCCCTATCTATCACAAATAAAGCATAAAGCTTAAATTGTCAAAATCTTTCCAAAATATACTCTAAAAACAATTATAAAACAGATTCGACCCGCATAAAACAGGTAGTTTCTGGTTATTTGAATAGTGTCTGCCTCATTGAATATAACAAGTATAGAATTCTTGACATATGATATCTCGAAGTGTCTGCTATCGCCTGTCAAGAACCGAAGACATATGCTATCGACAGAACCATTACGTTCAAATCAACACGTTCAAGGACACTTCGAAATATCATATGTTTTATATACATCTTTACCAACGTTCCAAAAGAGTTCCAGTCCAACATAACAAACCTGCATTGATATGGCAAGAACTGATATAGAAGAATATCAACAATATGTACAGATGAACACATTCTTTAACAATCTCAGGTACCACATTTACAACATGTAACATTACGTTACCAAAAACAACGATACATATAGATATAGATATATATATATTTATAGATATGACCTTATATGGGCAGTGACAACATGTAATGACATCCACGCATCCGAACCAATCACTCATGCAGTGCTTCTCATTCTCGTGAAAAGGTTATCCATTTTAGGGGCGCTATCACATCCCAGCCAGCCCTGATCATGGACAACAGTCTTAGAGCGTTCTACGTGCAGGTGCACGTGGGGACATTCTACGGACCAAATTACATTGTAGATGATGTGAAAAATTAAGCTTTACTAAGATTAAATAACGTCATGAACACAAAGGACACCAAAACACCCCTGTTGGTGGTGCACTTTCCAACTTTGCCTCGTTACGAATAAAAAAACAAACAAACTCTACCCGTTATAACGCGAAATGAATCTCGCTATAACAGCTGCACTAAACAGAACAGAGTCGGAAACTAGTTGTACAGTGTTTCCTAAATGTACAGTGCTTCTGATATTGACAAATAACACTTCGTTAACTCGAACTCTTTTAACTCGATTTGATGTTTACCACGAGTTCTTTACAGGAAGTGTTATTGCCAACATAGTCTAACATGGACAATGTTGTCTGAGACTATGGCTAACTCGACACATATTCGACCATCCCTATTATCGAGTAAACGAGATAAAGCACACATCAAGTGGCAAAACATAAAACCAATTCAAATGTGCTTTTGCAAAATGTGCTTATCATCATTCAGTGTGAGGACAAGTGCTTTTTGATTTCTAAAAGAATTTAAAAGTATATTTGAGCTCATTCATTTTGCATCGCTCTCACAATATCATATTTTCCCCAAAATAGGATTGTTTGAGGATTAAAAAATAGCGACGTTGAGGTTTGTGTATTGCAAGGGTATATTGGAAGCATTTGCTGAAGAAAATATTAGGTCACTCATATTGCGTATGGTAGGCTTGGAAGACCTTACACGGAACCATAACTTTATAAAAATTTAAATTCATGAAATATATGTCTGAGTTTAAAAATATCGTATCACAAAGTAGAAACGCTTAGCAAACCTCTTGGAGATGAGGGATTCTTATAAAATATCTCAACTTGTCACACTGTTTAGTCTGAAAAAATACCACACAAATAATTGCATGATGATGGATACAAAATACCGTGATGGAAGACTGCATATATAAAAGAAAAGATAATTCTGCATCATTGCTTAGAAATGAAGCAGCTAATGGATGTCCACGTATAACAGCTCACGTTGTTTAAACGTCACTTTAAAAGATGTGTTTATCATCATACTGTCGGTGTGTTGGGGCTGCATATCTCATTCCAACTGCAGATGTTATGTTGAGAAGCTTCGACATTTGACGTAAACATCCACTCCCACAACAGAGGCTTGGTAGAATACTTCAACAGTCGACCTATATATTCCCAAATTCAACAGTATGGCGAAATGCTTCAAAGGTCGAGTGATCGCCTATTCCCACAACAGAGAATTAGGATAAAAAGTTTCAAGGGTCGAGCTATCCATACCATCTAAAGTGTGAAATGTTTCAACAGTCGAGCTATCTATACCATCCCACATCAGCATTAAGGGTGAAATGCTTCAACAGTCGAGCTATCTATTTCATCCCCACAACAGAGAATTGAGACAAAATGCTTCAACAGTCGATCTCTAAATCCCATTCCCAAAGCCGAGAGTGTGGATGCTTCAACTGCCGAGCTATAAATCCCATTCCCAAATCTGAGAGTAGGGATGCTTCAACAGTAAAACTGTACATCCCACCCCCAACAGTAGAGAAGACCGGTAATTCCTACAGCTGATGGTATGACTGACTGACTGAGTTTGGTTTTACGCCGCTTTTAGCAATATTCCAGCAATATCACGGCGGGGGACACCAGAAATGGGCTTCACGCATTGTACCTATGTGGGGATTCGAACCCGGTACGTCGGCGTGACGAGCCAACGGTTTAACCATTAGGCTACCCCACCGCCCCTGATGATAAGAGGAAATATTTCAACATATACCATCCCCAGAGCCTCATTCAAGTTGTAACACTTCCACTAGTAATAACATGTTCCACAGCTTCAACGTGTCACACGTCCCTATTATTCTTCCCAACAGCTGTTCAGCAGTCCCATATAACACGTGTGAGCACACATCCATTTTCTAGCACACCATACCCGCGGTCTTGTACCTTTTCAACTGTCAACAGTTGATGTTTAAACAACCACTTGCTCAGTAAAAGACAATCATTCAACAACCGAGGTTACTCGTAACACTGCAACAGCTTTAACCTTTCTTCTACATCCCCACATTGATGATACAACATTTCAACAAAACACTATACAACGGCATTCAACACTCAAGGATATACAATAATATTCCAATACATAACTGCATACGTATCTCATAACAGAGCAGCATCGTAAACAAGCCAGGCAAAACAATATAAATTCTGTACATCATGATACATTCCAGTAATGAAAACGCATGATACATTCGTATATCCAACAATGATATGAAAAAAATCAACAGCGGTTATCTCCTTTCATCATCACTCCGAGCAATCTCCCTTAACAAAGGTCAGTAAGAGTTGCTTCCCTTTACTATGATTGAACTCCCTTGGGTATGATTGGCTCTCTCACGTCACTTTCAACATCGTCCTTGGCAACAGTTTCTTCTGTTTTTGGCGAGTCCTCGGGTGTGTCTGGGGGTCTGTACAAACGCAGCGCCAAGACGAGGAATATCCCGAAAAGATACATGTTCCTATCATCAACAGGAACAGGTTCCTCGCCATGGTGTTACTGTCGTACACCCAGCAGGAGAGGCGACTGTCGCATTTCTCTCGCCACACAACGCACGACTCGTCAAGCAAACGGCCGTACAATATTGGACCGGGAACTGTACCTGTTGGAAATGAAACACTCGATAATTAAAATAAATTATTATAGTTAACAACACAAATGTACAGTTTAGCCTCCTGACGTCGAACTCAAGCGTACTTGCCATCTATTTGGCTTTGATCGACATTGGATAGTCAGCGTGCACTCAATGACGTCATAATGCATGGCGTATGTCATTACGCAAGCGAATACAAATACGTTGACGACTAAGCGAGTGAAGTTTTGAAGGTCAGTAACAGATTCTAAAAATACCTTAACTGTCGGACAAAAGGAAAGAAACTGGGTTTGGAAACTGGAAATTGGGTTTAGCAAAAATATAACTGAAGTCATCAACACGTTGCTTGGACGAGAGAACTGTTGTCGAAACAGTGTACATTTTCGGCCCAGAAGAAAACTATGACACCGGAAGCAAATACGCCACCATCGACATATCGAATATAGATGTTTGGCAGCCAACAGCACCTTTTTAGACAGAAGACCCATTGCCCCGAACCTCTCAATGCCTCCCCTCCTCCCAACACACAAACACACTTCAACCAAGACAAAAGCCCGAAGCTATACACTTACCTAGCAGTCTCACAATCAGTAGTTTCACGCCCTGGGCAAACGTCTTGTGTTCTTCTGGTACGCACCTGGAGAGACGGAAGCGAATGAGAGAGTTAAAATTTAAGCTGCGATCGGCAAGCATTTAGTCATTCCGACAAATAATGAAATATTGAGACGTACAGATCACATTATGGAATGGCAATTACTTGAGTACGTTTAGTAATATCCTTGTTTGGGTCAGTGCTGATTTTTGTAATGGTAAGTTTTATAATCGTCCATTCAAATGGCTGACAACAAAGGATTTTACATTGTCATGAGGTGTAAAACGTAGCTAGCGAAAGCCCCGACCCCTCAATAAAGAACTAATCCTTAGGATCATCTTCTGTACAGAGTGAGTGATGGAGTAAGTTGGAGTATACCTCCACTAAGGGGCGGTGGGGTCGCTTTGAGGTTAAAGTATTCAGTTGTCGCGCCGATGAACCGGGTTCGATTCCCACATGGGTACAATATGTGAAGCCCATTTCTGGTGTCCCCCGCCGTGATATCGTTGTAATAACTCACTAACTCACTATACTTCCATTGTAATTGGATACCTTGCTCTACAGGCTGACATGATACCATCTCATGACAGAATGATTGCAACATCCAAGGCTGCTGGGTTTACCTGAGCTGCACTGAGTCGCCGGGCGCCACAGGGATGAAGACGAAGAAGATGAGGACGAACATGAGAGCGAGGAAGACATAGAGGATAGAGCACGATTCCCTGCAGCCCTGGCTGGTCACCTGGACACTGGAGTTGGGGAACGTCTGGCCCGCCACGCACCCACACCCACTGTAGTTCTGTAGGACAACACAAAGCCATGAAACCCTCTTGATCATAGCATAGCAACCCTCTTCGAATGAGTGTTTGGTGACAGTTACAAGATAGATACTACTAACACAACTAATAATATATTGAGGGAAACGCAGAAAGGTACACAACTTCATCACTGTGTTCCTTTAATATTCTCAGATTGTCAGCCACATTGCAATACAACGTTTGTAAAGAGGTCTGCAGAAGGATTGAGGAACACTTACACATGCGTGTGTTCCTTAACTCTTTTCCCTGAAGATATTTCACCAAAATAATCATACTAAACTTGAAATATGTGATCACAGAGAGTGCATGTGTGATTTTCGATGTGTGATTTACAACGTGGGGTGAAATAGTTTACTATGATTATACTACAGTGACATTTTTAATACAGGTTACAAATTACAAGTTGAACCAGGGACACGTTGGACTACAGAGGGCAGAATATCATTAAAGGGAGACAATTCAGTGAAATAGTGCTAAGGGGCGTAACTCTGTACAACGCAATATGGAAAAACTGGTCATAATCGCAGGGAGTGTGGGAAAGAAATATCTGATGTACGATCAATATACCTGCAAAAGAAAGCGTAAACTAATAGTAAGTGATCTTTATATAGGTGTCGGCACCAGTATGGCGTAAAACTAAACTCACTCACTACAGAAAGTGACAAGTAAAATTCAAATGTCTATCAGACGGGGTAATTTTACTAATCCTTCAATCCTACATGATTCATTCAACATTTGTTGTCGGCTGATGGTCTTTAAGCAGACTCTGTAACATTGGATATCACATTTGAATATCAGCCTTACCCCATTTCCCAGATCATGTGCACACCCGGCGTGACACGGCGTGAAGTATACGTTCCCTGTGGGGTCGCACACCGGCTCGAAGACGTCAGTGCTGCACCGGCAGTGGGCGTTACAGGCAACAGTCAGCTCTACCGTGTAGGGCGTGTGGTTGAACCTGGTGGACAGGGGGAAAATGTAAATATTGGGGAATGAAGATGAAATTTGGCACGATATGAAAGTCAAATCACAGTTCTTCTCTATGCCACACTAGGAACAGTTGTGAGGAGTCTACAAGACGTCCCTCGAACTAAGGTTCCCAAAGAACCCAGAACATGAGGTCTTGTAAACACTCAAGTGGACAGAATCCAAATATACCAATTTAAGGGTCTTCCTCGTGTTAGTCCTTAAAGTGCTTCTGTTGCTATAGGTACTGAAAATCTATAGAATCCAGCTCGAAATTGGCAGCCTGGCTCCTGAGAATTTCAGCTGCAAAGGTCCTGCTCACTCTGGAGAACATGTAGCGCATGTGGTATCTCCGTAGGCTTGTAATTGTGTTCACCTAGCAATGGATGGGTACCCGGTAGGATGATCTGGTAATGATGGTGGTTACTGTTAATTTTAACGCCTCACTGACAGCTTAAGATGGATACTCCCCAGGAAGAAGAGAATAAAATGTTGAGTCAGAGAGAGAGTACTCATCATGATGTCTCTGAAACTCATACTCTGCGTAGCCGACTGGAATATTGTTCAATTAAACGTTCAGGTATTACTTGGCCATATAGATACTTACCCCGGGTACGATTTGTCTATGCCAGATATGATTTCTTTATCACATTTGAGCCACAAGACGGAGCTGGACACGAGGGCCCCGAACACTCCCACCATGCAGACCTTCATTGCCCCTCTGATGTCCAGCTTCAACCGCCGGGTTATGATGCCCCCTACAAACTGACCACCGGCGGCGCTAGGCACTACTGCTATACCTGGACAACATAGACGTACCATATACAATGTGTCTGTTTTTGTTGCAGGGCAACTGAAACAGGGGCGGATATAGCTTTTTGAGAAAGGGGGGTGCACACTATTGAGAAAAGGGGGGTGCACACTTCATTCAAGTGTCATTTAATGTCGTTTCAATGGTCATTTAATAAACGTTCAGGACAAAACGGGGGGTGCGCACCCACCCCCAACCCCTCCCCCTCTGGATCCGCCTATGTGAAAATATTCTCAAAGCTATAACAACTGCACGTTGCGGGAAGAATTTGAAAAGTGTAATTTTATAACATATTTATCTGGAAGTTGATGGTAAAGATTAGACTAATTATTAGTCTCTGAAAGCAGTTAACTTGGACACAAACGAATAACTATATTTCGAAATGGATCCCCAGTGAGCTCGGTGATTCAGAGCCTGGGGTAATCTAGACTTGCTCTATTTTGGGCTTTTACTTTGCAGAAAGGGTACACGGGAAAGGAAATAATATAGTTCATGGACTTTGAGACAGACTAGAATATATGTTTTTTATTGTGTACCTGTCAACATGGCGGCGAGTGACGCAGAAATTTTGTATTCATTCTCTATAAACTTTGGCAGGAAAGTGGCGCTCCCTGCTATCACGAGTCCCTCCATCAACATGCTCAGCGTCATGAAACAAAACACTGGATTCATCAAGAGGGTGTAGAGCACGCGGAGGAGGTCAGTGAGGGACCCCTTCTCCCCGACCCTGGCTGCAGTGTGGCTGGACGAGATATGAGCCTGGGATCTCCGGGTGGCACTCACGTAACGGGCGGCTGGAAGGTCAAGGACGAAGGTCAATTTTAAATTTGATAATTATGTTAGAGTTCTTCTCTCTTGCTCTTTCAAGGTCGGAAGTAAAATGAATTTTTGACAACTACGGCAATATATGGGTTCCGATGTATGTAATTACATTATTTTGATGAGTCAAACATAACTCATTTATAACTGTTCTATTCGGAAGAATCGTTATATCACAATTAAGCTAAGCGCCTTCGAACGGCGTTTAGAAGTGATGCACATTAAAAAATGAATATTTATCGATGTCTACCTCTTTATTAAGAGGAACAAGACGTTTCGGAGAATATTCATACTCCTTGGTTTTTAAAAAAGACAAAAAGCGCCGTGTTCCTCTTAATAAACAATTTGAACGTTAAACTAATTTATTTTATTTTTTAAATATTATTTGTGTGGCTTTATAAAATTGAAAGATCATACAGTTTGTGAGTGTGGAAGCTGGTAGACTTACAAGGCAATTCTTTTCCATATGCGAACAATGGTAAGGACACGACCAGATTCAAGATGGCGCAGACGAGGAACGTGAACCACCAGGCACCGACCCATCTGGGGTCGTCCGTCGTGATGTTCAGGCTAAACACAAATAAGGCATTAAATCAACGAGGGTTGGTTATTGAACAACAGTGCGAGCACACGTGATTGGGTTTTCTGATGAGACTTGGTGTGTTTAAATGTAGCCTATATTAATATTATGATATTATTGCTATGCCTACTGACCTTGAGGTGTTAACTGTGTCGAAGTCGACGTAGTAGCTGAGGAACTGCCCGCCGATGACGAAGCCGAGCCCAGGGCCCAGTACCGAGCATCCGTACAGAATACCTGTGAAGGAGTGAGTGATGAGTTTAGTTTTACGCCGCACTCAGCAATAGTCCATCTATATGGCGGCGGTCTGTAAATAATCGAGTCTGGACCAGACAATCCAGTGATCAACAGCATGAGCATCGATCTGCAAAATTGGGAACCGATGACATGTGTCAACCAAGCCATCGAGCCTGACCACCCGATCCCGTTAGTAGCCTCTTACACCTGTGAAGGAAGAATATGTGTCAAGTATATTGGACATTGTTATTAAAGAACATGGGGACGGGGTAAATGTCGTCGCTTTCGTCGCGAGGTAGGGTAACAACAAAGAGCATTATATAACGTCTGGGAATTGAACTGCTGAACTTCTGCTCTCCGGTATACGGCCTTCACGCTGTGTACAGAGAAAGGTGAGGTGAGGTGAAATTGGGTTTACGTCGCGCTTGAGAGTATTTCGCTCATATGACGACGTGCATGCGTGTGTATGTGTATGTGCGGCTGCTTGTACTAGCCCAGACTTAAGCTGGTTTTATAGTGCTAGCCCACTGAGATACCATGCCGCAGTGAAGCATGAATACCCCACTCAGACACATTATACTGACTCCGAGCCGACCAGTCCTTGTTGTAGCCATTAATGCCGAGCGCCTGGCAGGGACCAACAAGTACCATATTTTAACGACTTTTGGCATGACGCGGTCGGGGATCGAACCCGCGACCTTCCGCTCTCCGGGCGGACGCTTTAACCACTACACCACGGAGGCTGTCTACAGAGAAAGGAATGTGATACAGATGAGTGTAGGAATGTCGAGATTCACCAATGTCTACACCGCACATCACCGATCTGTGATCCAGTGGTCAGCATTTCTGGTGTCCCCCGCCGTGATATTGCTGGAATATTGCTAAAAGCGGCGTAAAACTAAACTCAGTCAGTCAGTCCAGTGGTCAGTCAGCCACTGGCACACCACGACCACTCAGAAGAGCCCTTGACCCAAGCAGGTATCGAACTACGGATGCCATGAAGAGCAGACTTACCTAAATACAGTGGAGTAGACTGGGACGGGAGACTGTCGTCTAAGAGCGCCACGCCCACTGTGTATACGGTGGTTCCCCCCACACCGTGCAGCATCTGACCCAGGATGAACACATAGAGGTAGTTGGATAGGTGGGTCTCCGTGTCCTGAGCGCACGTCGTGGTGTTCGAGGTCCCTGCAGAAGACGTCACCGTTGCAGTATCGCATAAAGACATACCGAAAACAAACTGATACTCCCCAACGGTGATAGCAAGGAAGCCGGTTCCCCAGTTGATCTGTGTTGTCAGTTTCAAGCATATATATAGTTAAACCGCTTTTGTTACGAATTTGGTTATATTGAAACACAAATAACAACGTTATGCATATGATCAATGTTAATGCAACTTATTGTTTGCGCTTTTAAAACGTGATCGGGAAGGGAGACAACTCCTCCCGCCTTGAGTGACATTAAGCGCAATCCCCATATGGTCTATCGCCAAAGGCGATATCATCTATGCTAACTAAGACTAATTTAGACTGCATATCCATATTTGATGAACAAAATATACATCCACAGAATTGAGACGTCAGTTATACCATTGTGTTCACAGAAGCTTTGATCGAGTTCCCCCAGCTCGTACGCCCCGGTGGTGAAGTGGGGTAGGGACATGACTAGTGACCCCATAGCCATAATGACCCCCGCCCCCGCCACCCATCGAGCCTTGTTCCTCCCCGACCCATAGTAGCTGACAAACACGCCCAGGATCCCTGCGGCAATGTCGTAGGCGCTGGAGATGAGGCCGACTTTGGCGCTGGGAAGGTTGAACCGGCGTTCAATAGACGTCGTGTTGACATTGTTGATGCCGTTCACGACGAACCCTGTGAAGCAAAAAAATAATAAATGTTTATATGTACATGTATTTTATCCGACACTACTTGGAAATCCCTGAAGAAATTCGAATTCGGAAATATCTGTCAGTCCTTTAAAACATCGCAAACTGATACTCCCCAGCGGTGATAGCAAGGAAGCCGGTTCCCCAGTTGATCTGTGTTGTCAGTTTCAAGCATATAACAAACAAGCGGCTGTCAAAACTCTGCGGTGAAATGAGTTGTATGTATTGCATCTTGTAACTAAGACACGTAAAGATCCGGGTTAGAATTGGTCTTCAGAGGCAACTAACGGGATCGCGTGGTGAGGCTTGCGGACTTGGCTGACACGTGTCACCGTGACCCAATTGCGTAGATCAATGCTTATGCTGTTAATCACTGGATTGTCCAGTCCATACTCGAGTATTTACAGACCGCCGCCATATAACTGGAATATTGCTGAGTGAGGCGTAAAGCTAAACCCACTCACTCTCTAAAATGAACATTTTTAAGAAAAAAAACCGGTTCATAAATTATCATAAAATATAATAAAGGAGGAGCCCAAAGACTTTCATTTTCATTTTCCTGAAACTGTGGTAATCTAGACTTGCCACATATTCTAGACTTGCATGGACGTTCTTGGATGTATTTGTTTCAGGGTCTGTATGACAGACTAGTAGTATAGACTTGTGTTGGGAATTGGTTCAAATCTCATAATTGATGATTGGTTCATTACTACCGATCAATCATCGAAAATAAGTGGTTAGCGTCATTTATTAAATTTGTTCATGCACATAAAAATAAGGAAAAAAACATGTAGTTCTTTCGGGGGTTTTTGGCAAAATTTCACATCTTTAAAGGATGACTAGTATGCTGGGAACATAAATTTCTTGGAATCTTGAAGATAAATTCAATCATGACTTGAAACGAGATTGTAGTGCTTACGAAATGTAACAGACAAAACCAACCATGTGAAAAATATTGTTAATGAAAACAAGTGTTCCAGAATTGTTTGTGTTCGATTATGAGAAATTATGATCGATTGCTTGGTCGTTTAGTCACTACGACCAATTTTCGATTATTTCAATTAATCGGACCACCACTAGTATAGACGTAGCCTTCACAGTTGCAAATGTAAATCAGAATTGAGACGCGCTTAACGTATAGATGTGTCATAGTCATGATCATGTTCTAAGGGCCATGTTCATGTTTGAACAGCCAATTTCACTGCGGTCCTTTCGCTAAAATACCTTCGTGGAACTGGGCCTGTGCTATTCAGCCGCCATCACCGGCCAATCAGCAACGTTGTACATTGCAAACATGTCAGTCAGATCGTGGTCCACATTGCAAATATGTCAGTCATATCGTGATGTACATTGCAAATATGTCAATCAGATAGTGATATGCACATTGCAACCGTGCCAAACAGACAGTGATGAGTACGGCTCAGACAACTTCAATGAATTTAGGTCGTTTATCCCATTACTGTGATCACTCAAATTTACCACGACGTGTTATAATTGTAAATATGAATATTCATAAATGTCACGATGTAGCGGCAATTTCCCTAGTGCCAAGTCTTGGGACACATGAGTACGAGAGAATTTGTATGACAGTAGCATCACTTTACATTATTGGGGTCAAGGGAATAGGCATCTCAACGGTAACCGTCAACCACGACCAGTGGCAGATATCGCTATTATTATGAGTGCATAATTAATGTATTTTATCAAAACAATTTTATTCCATTTCTCACGTATATAATGAACAACATTGATATGGTCGACGGGTACATACAAATGAAACAGCTGGTATAGAAAGGCGGTTATTGTCATTTAGATTATTGCGATATCTGTTTCATTGAATACTAAATTAATGATCAGTTGTGAGTTTCCCTCGCATATGTTGATGTCAAACCCCAATGATTACCTCAAAAACACATTTTAGCATAAAACAAAACATTACGGATCATCTGGGTATGTGACACGAGTGAAATCATATTGAAAGTTCCGAGATTTCAAGATTATTTAGCGAAAAAACCCGGATATTCCATAATTCCCTGTGGGCTGTTTCCTAGCGGTAAATATGCATCAATGTTTAATTTTCCACTCTACCCTTGAAGATCCGGGTTAGAATTGATCTTCAGTAGCCCATGCTTGTCGTAAGAGGCGATTAACGGGATCGGGTGGTCAGACTCGTTGACTTGGTTGACACAAGGTAATCGGTTCCCAATGGTGCAGATCGATGCTCATGATGTTGATCACTGGATTGTCTGGTCCAGACTCGATTATTTACAAACTAAACTCACTCACTCACTCACAACATAGCAATAGCGTTATCATTTGGGTCGGCTTGAAACGACACGAATAAATGAGATTACTAACTGTTCTCACTCAGCTGCCATTGTGGCCATCTGATACCCATTTCAGGTAAAGGGTCTTGCTAAATATTATCCCATTTAAACAAAGAACGTTAGTGCTAAAGGACACCCAGTCCGGTTCTACGTACCATAAGCGGGGTGACATAATACGAGACAGCATCCATTTCGGTGACATTTGATCTCCATTAATTATATTTACATTGGCGAACATGGCTGATTAAGATAAATCGACCTTTCAGATGTTGAAATGTGAGTAACACGAATGGATCGAGGTACAGATAAGCTGCGTATCTGCTTAAATTACGCAAATATTTATGTGAAAACTCAATTCCTATTCAGTCTATTGCGTACAAGTACGCTTGAATTTTTGTAAATACTCAATGAATGTCATCTTACATGCGTACACACAAAAATGTCAAATGTTAGCTTGCGTACCAGTGGATAGATAAAATAACTGAAGTATACTGAGAGGTTCTATTTCAGGACATGAACTTGACAACTTGCAGTCTTTCTTATCGTTTCTCATATTACAGATCAAATATAAATAACATTAAACATTAACATTTAAACTTTACTATTTTTTCAAAAATGGAAAATGGCAAAATACCCACTTGCGTTTGAGTGAGGTGAGTACAATTTATTTGGTTACTCAAAATATTAGGATACCCAATTGAGATGAACACAACTCAATGACCCAAAAAGTTATCTGTAGCTCTGGATCTTAGATGTTAGGTGTGATATCACATAGTTAGGTATTACAGAATGTGAGATATCGTTCGCGGGCCGCAACATAATATGAGACTATACAAACACAGGAATATGTGTTTCTGAAATATGTCTGTTTTGCCACGCGGATACGGGAAACGAGTTGTTTCAATGGCAGACATAACAGTAAATTCGATCAAATCCTTTTAACTTCTGACACTGGTATTTCAATATCGCCACACCTAACAGACCGCACGTCAATAACAACATCTACCAAAACATAGGTCGTAATATGCCGAGTAAATCGTCTCCTCATAATACATGTTTGGTTCCAAATTGGTGTGAGTGAGTGAGTTTAGTTTTACGCCGTTTTTAGCAATGTTCCAGCAATATCACGGCGGGGGACACCAGAAATGGGCTTGACACATTGTGTCCATGTGGGGAATCCAACCCGGATCTTCGGCGTGACGAGCGAATGCATAAACCATTAGGCTACCCCACCGCCCCTCCAAATTGGAGCAGATTTTGATAAAAGCTGGTGCAATATGATTGAGCTAGGTTGAAATATATTCCGTCATTGTGCCAAGTTATCATCTTTTATATCAAGTGAGAAATATGTTGATCGTTATCAGGCGGTATGTATGGTGGATGTATCATAGAATGGACCAATAAGGATTCGAACCAGGGAAGTAGGTGTGTAGGGTCATCACTCGACCCACGTGGCTAGATGTTCATTACGTGCAAATGTATTAAAAGATGCTTAACTCGTCTTTAGAATTTCATAGCGGTTACTCAGAGTGCATGTGCACTAAGAAAGCGTGCCAAGATTGAGAACGACCCCAATCTTCTTCAGAAACCAGTGTACTGAAAACCATCCTACGTCAGGATGGTTCCGTCAGTCGGCTGCGATTGCGAGTGCTTATCCTTCGTCGTCTAGGGTCACTTCATTATTAACTTGCTACCCGTGATGGTCCGGGTCAGAATTGGTCTTAGCAACCCCTGCTTGTCGGAATAAGCGACAAACGGGATCGGGTGGTCAGGCTCGATGACTTGGTTGACACGTCATCGTATCCCAAAAGCGTAGATTGATGCTCATGATGTTCATCACTGGATTGTCTGGTCTAGAATCGATTATTTACAGACCGCCGCCATATAGCTGGAATATTGCTGCATGCGGCGTTAAACAACAAACAAACGCTGACATGCCGCGATATAACTGGAATCCTGTTAACCCCCACCCCCATCCCCACACACCCCCACCCCACCCACTATCAAGACTGTGCGGAGTACATAAATTCCACATGGTTCGTGTCCTTCATAAATACTCATTAGAATAACAAAACAGAGAATAATACTAATGAAACGATAACCCGGATGTAATCGTGTTAAGAAATCTTGTATTAGACCTAACGAGGGAGGATGGTGTCAAAATCAAATTGAGTCCATTACTAAGGAACTGGAATGGCGTCAGTGTTTTGTCGGTATGATCGCGTTATCGTGCCAAGGCGTGTCCGCGTATGCATGTATAATTAATGACACTTAATTGACGAGTAGATCAACATGCTTAATAGTACTTGCATTTATACAACCCACTAACCTCAATAACGAATCCCGTACTAGTAATCATTCAGAAGCACATATTCAGCTCACCGGGGGCCGTTTATAATATCCCTTACAATACAATAACGCCATACTCAAGTATCCCCATTCGTTTTGAGTCACATTGTCATGCTCAGAGAGAGCTTGTGTTGCAGGAGCTGGTGGGCGATAATGACGGGGGGTGTCAAATCACCTACATCGATCTGGAAATTGGGGCAGCTGATTCAGCCAGTAAGTTGGAGTATGAATAACAACATATTACAATATTACAATATTACAGTATTACAATCCAATAACGAGGGCGATTACGGTTGTCATAGAACACACACATGGACGGAGCTGGCGTGGGCAGCTTGTGTCACAATGAGCGGGATGACCGATTTATTTCAGCTGAATCAGCGATTTCAGTAAAACCTATTTGTCTAGACTGTCGTTCCTGTTTTAAACATATGACATATATTCATGGTGTGAGGGAAAACCGAATGGTTACTGGGTGGGTTTTATTTAATTCTTCCCTGTCCATTATTTGGCGATGAATCTGTCGTCATTTACAGTGAAACTTCGTTGACTTCAAATCGTCGAGTCGAAACGCCAAATGCTTTAATTTGAGATATAGGTAGAGTCTCTATTACACCAAAATGTTCAATGATTCTTTAGAAAATATATCCTACTATATCATCTTACCAAATAAGCACCAATTACCATTCGACGTTGAAAGATTGGCATCCATTGTTCACAAGTTCCAGTTCATCTACTCCATCATATTTTTCCAAAGAGACACCATGAGGGAATTAGGGGTTAGAATTATTTGGTGCCTAGTAACCCCCTGCTTGCTTAAAACTCGACTGGATTGATCGAGTGCCTGAACTCGGTTCCTTATAAATGTTACCATTACTTGAGGAGCATGACACACTAGACCCAACCTTCCAGATAATCTTCGAAAACATATCTTCCATTGCTGTGGTCCAATCACGACTACGCCTTCTTTGTTCTGATAACCGTTTCCGCATCACGGCGAGGTCACCAGTAAGTTTTAAAAGACGAAAAGCGGTACTGCGATTTGTATATTCTAGATGGGGACTACCAACGATCCTATATTGTAGGTTACAGTCGGCTCACGTCATCCAAGTCGTGACAAAGAAGATGGTAAACCGTTTAGAGAATCACGTTCACAATCGACCATAGACTAACGCTTAGTCTCTGAATATATACAATTTTGAATGTAACAAATAAACCCACTTAAATTGAAAAGGAGCCCCAGAAGCTGTGGAAATCTAGACTTGCTTCATTTGGGGCTTAAGCATTGCAGTGAAGGCAAGGCTGTATGGACAATAATATGGTTCAGGGACTGTGAGACAGACTAAGTATAGAACATTAATATTCTGACACAATTACCGGGACTGATTCGTTCATACGTAAAAACCCAGTAAAGTGCATGCTGACAAAACCCCTCACTCTGCAGAACCATGAATATAACGATTACCAACGTCTCTCCATTTTAACCGAGTAAGCACACACATCTGTTGCGCAAGACAAAAATACACAGCCTTTTGCCAAAAAATTAACAAATGTTTACTGTCTAAATGAATGTTAATTTAGGAAAAGGAGCCCCAGAAGCTGTGGAAATCTAGATTTGCTTTATTTAAGGCTTTAGCATTGCAGTGAAGGCAAGGCTGTATGGAAAATAATATGGTTCAGGGACTGTGAGACAGACTAAATCGACCAGTGAACCCTGTGTATCCGTGATACCGTTTAAGACGATGTGACTTTGTAGACACAACCTTCATCTGCGAACGTAGTGGTCAAGATGTTTATTCGTTTACGTCGAATAACGAGTTCGACTTCCCACATGTGTGCTGTGTGTTAAGCCTATGGTGTGTACATCTAAATAATACTGGCAGTTTTCAAAAACGGCGTAACAGCAACATAATCGCTGTTTGTCTCCAAATCCGAGCCTTCCACAATGTTTTCACTTGTTTGCTGCTTAACCCCGTATTATTCCTGTAACTATATGATGGCCGTCTACTAGTAATCGAGCCTAGACCATAAATCCAGTGATTGGCATCGTGAGCTTCGATCTCGGCGATTAGCATGCGATGACATGCATCAACTAACCCCCTCTCACACAGGTATGGGTTGCTGAAGACCCATTCTAACCCGGATCTTAACGGTAAGTAGTATTTGGGATTCAGGAATGAGCAACGGGATGTGAAAAATGGCATTCGTGATTCTGGGGAGGACGTTCGCCTCCTCGCCTGTTTTGTTAAAACTCTGCCACGTTCGACACCTATGTTTAATCGACATAGTGATAACAAGAAGAGACTACTTACCTAAGATCATACAGTAAGCACACAAGAAGAAAAGCAGGCACTTTGGGTTATTGAAGACTTGCAGCCAATCAGGACGGTAGCTTCCGAAACCACACCTGACGTCATCGTCAGCCAACGCCTTCGATTGGTTGAACTCAGGTAGGTCCGGTATAGACTGTTTGCCTTTCTTTTTCCCATCATCTCGAGCGGTCAGTTTCAAGGCAGTGCTCCATTCATCTTCGTGACCACTGTTTCGGTTCGTGGAATCCATCATATCGTAAAGGCTATCAAGTCTCTAAAGATGCGGGCACGGTTACTGCAATAGTGGCTGGTCCGAGCTTTGTGTTAAATCCCATCATGTTTTCTGTGCTAATACACGACCTTCCTGCCGAGATCTGAAAAAAAAGACAATCCGTTTGTTCACAAGAGATATCGTAAATTGCTTTGGCACATTACGTCAACTGTTGGAGATAAGAAACGGAGGCTACGTTGGCTCAGTACTCAGGTTCCCGTATGTAAACAGTGCTATCAACTTTTTCCACTTCATCAATTTAATAACCCCACGTTCTCAGCAGATTCCACTGTAAACATCCTGGTACACGCGCTCCGCACCTTCTCGTCACTAAGAAACCAATTTCTAAATCCCATTTTTCATTTTTTGGGGGGTATGCAATAAACAATGTGGCTTAATCTGATCGACGACAGGGCCAAAACACGTGTTGCCCATGATAGCACAACACATTAGATTATGACTTCTTCCATGACGTGAGTTATCCTAACGTCCATGTTAGCAACATGTCCGTCATAGTATGATGTATCGACTTTACGTGGAGGGGCGGTGGGGTAGCTTAGTGGTTAAAGCGTTCGCTCGTCGCGCTGAAGACCCGGGTTCGATTCCCCACATGGGTATAATATGTGAAGAACATTTCTGGTGCCCCCGCCATGATATTGCTGGAACATTTCTAAAAGCAGCGTAAAACCATACTCTCTCACTCACTCACTTATAATTGCCGTTAAATCGTCCACTGTACCCCAGTCTACTTTTTTCTTTTACAACATCCAAAGACTATATGGAAACGTCAAGTCAAAAATTAACGTAAACATATCAATGACATCGAAAACAATCAATTCTTCCCAACGTGCTTTGAATACAAATCCATCATTTGCAAAATGAATGATGTCGATCCTTATCAATCGCAATCAGGCATTGCGATGTTATACTAGTTGCAGATAATTGTAACACCATCTCATCAATTGAAAACGGCCAGAGACAAAATAAAGTCATTATACCGTCCCCGAAGATCCCAGCTATTTTCAAATTGTTTATATAATTGTAGCAAATAAACGGGGCGAGTCCGGAAGGGGCTCTATAACAGTATGACAAGACAATCATGTCAGTTCAGCTACCACCAAATCCCCTCATCTCGCCAAATCTCGCCATCTTAGCGAATATGGTATGTTGTTGTCTCGTCTGAGCAGACCGGAAGGCAAGCTTGTTATGGCGGCAGAATTTCACAGTTCTTCGTGGAAATAAACTGGAACGAAGGGTTTGGTGTTTGTCGATCAATAACCTCGCGCTTTGCTTCATTCTAGGTGAATCGACGAGATTCGTACCAATAGGTGAAGACATAAAGTGGCATCTATGGAACTATCGTCCGTTTTCAACCAAAACCCAAATGTCTGGCCAAGTCGTCAAATGGGCATACCTTGACACGACCTAAAGAACGGCGGAATTTCAGCTTCCAGGAACGATAATCGACTTACTGCGAGCTATCTTTCGGGTATTTGTCTTTCGGATCGATATGTGAGAAGATACTTGTCCGTGATTGACTTTGGAGATATTTCTGGCTCAATTTGGCCTGTTTCGTCTGTGTAATTTAGATGTTCTCGAATCCCTGGCTCATTCACGTCCAGAAATATTCATTTGATTAGGATGTCAATAACCCTTATATTAATTTCATTCACAAACAATTGTTACCCTCAGATCAGGAGTGGAGGAACTGCACAGGGTCTGTGACAGGGTCATATCGAAATGAGATCCGCTTTCGCGCCAAGGGTGTAATCTGATTCTGTACTTGCTTAGTAATATCGTGCTGCAGATTTCGAACGTTCGACTCTCCGTCTCTGTAAGGAAGGCATTCGCCTGGGGAGGTCATCGTTTTGTAAGGATGATTTAAGAGAACACTGGCAAGTAGCGAAGTGCATCGGTACCCACTTCCGCGGGCAGTCGGCCAATCTTCCAGCGTTAACAGGTTTAGATATAGACTAGCGCTTAGTCCCTGAATATATAGAATTTTGATAGTGACAAATAGACCCATTTAAATTGAGAAGGAGCCCGATTCAGGAGATGGGAGAACCTGTGGAAATCTAGACTTGCTTTATTTAGGGCATCAGCATTGTAGGGAGCGCTGGGCATCAGGGGAAATAATGTGGTTCAGGGACTGTGAGACAGACTAGTTTTACATACCGTGAGGGGATGCTAGAGTTTCACAGTGAGAGAAAGAAATATTTTTCATAGATGCAATTGTCTTGTATGTAAGTGTATGTATATAGCTTAAAGTACGTGACTACTTCATGTTGTGTGTACACAAGAACCACACACGGAATCGATTGAATAATATGATCTCAAGAAACCTTTGTAGTCATCTCTTATCTGATCAGACCTCATCTAAAGTCTGGGGCGATGAGGTTATATTGGTTAAAGCGTTCGCTCGTCACGCCGAAGGCCCGACATAGGTACCATGTGTGAAGACCATTTCGGGCGTCCCCCGCGGTGATATTGCTGGAATATTGATAGAAGCGGCGTAAAACTAAACACACTCATCTAACCTCTTGTGAAGACTGGCCATACTTGATTGAATATCTGATATGACATGATCTGATCGTACGAAATGTCTGAACTGAAATGGTTAGATCTAACTGAACATCTGAAGCCATCTGATCATATGGTAAGATATAACAGAATGTGAAGAGGCATGGAATATTCTAACGGAATATTCTAACTGATCTAACGCAACGGGATATCTGAATTGATATTATCTGATTGTAACAGAACATTTGATCTGGTACACTGAGATATATTGACGGATCAGATCTAACGGGATATCCAAACTCATTTGATCTAATATCTGAAACAAACGTATCTGACGGAATATCGTGCGTGTTCGCCTACGAGTAAGACAGGAACATATATTCCTTTCCATGTATGGACATTAGGGGTGACTATTAAGGGGAAGGCAACTATTGCGATAGCGATTGTATATTGCAACATACTATTGTGATAGCGATAGTGTATTGTGACCAACTATTGTAACACTATTGAAATAGTTTTTTTCTCTCCTTGAATTGTCTCATTTGAAGTCATTTCCCAAATAAATGTAGAGTTTATATGAAATAAAATTTAAACAAGTTGAAGTAGTTTCAGTATGTTTTACTAACGTGAAACCCAGATCAAGTTTGTTTAAGAAGTAACAGGGGCGGATAACTCTAAATCAAAGTGAACGAATCTGGTACTTCCTGTATTTTCCGCTGCACATTTATCAACGGAAGTCAATTACTAACCCATCGATAGTCAAACATACTATCGATGCATCAATAGTTTTTCGGTTCTACCATCGATTAATTGCTATCGGAGACTCAACAATTGCAATCCATCTATAGTTCGATGCAATGTTAAAGCCCTAATGGGCACGTTCCGTTTTGTCATGGGACTGTATGAGTCAGTTTTATAACAACCTGAGATTCATGGAGTTAATACACATCACCTCTCGTCCTTCACCCTATCCATCAATGATCACACAAGACCTAGTCTACTTGTTGCATCTCTCGTGTATTTGGTTAATCATCAAAATATATATTTATACCCTATTTACCTTGTGACGTAAATGTACCTATATTTATATGCATAGGCATACCATCGTAAGACGAATTAATTCCTTCCATATGCCGATAGCGGGTTACCATGATCCAACGACAGTCAACCTTGCTGTATCCGACACAGTATTACCAGGAGACTCGGAACCTTCAATCAGGGCACATCACATCTCCAGGCGAATCGGAACCATTATGCCGACGGTCTGTGGAGTTAATATACGGCTTCCCACCCCGTCTGGTTGTACATATTGCAGTAAAACGCCCCTCCCCTCTCCAGACCCCCCATACTGCCTTCCCGAAGGACGCAGGGTCAGAGGGTGGGGGATGAGGGGTCATCCTGGCTTGTCAAAGCATCAAAGCCCGACTCTGCATCACCCACTGATAATCGATGGCTAATTCTATCATATGTCCACAACCTTTGCATAGCGTTGTATTGACTGTCGGCTCGCTTCGTCTGCGTGGCTGGGGAAAGATTGCATGAACTGTTTCGATACGTTCAAGGGCGTAGTTGAAACGCTGGACTCAGCTTGGACGGGTACAACTGGTAATGTTACGTTTACCAAGACATAAAATCCAAACATGCTGAAAAAACAAAAACCCATGTAATATACAGACTGGCATTATTGAATTTAAGAGCGTTTTAAAGAATATTATTGCTCTTTTATTTCCAACACAGATCAAAGTAACCCCACACGCAAATTTTATATAAACGCCATAAAATCATGATTATTACCGCTATCCCTTCAATACAGCATGAAATTACAAGATTATTGGGTCAAACACGTGCATGTTCAAACTATACATTTGAACCACGGTACACTTGAGATAGGACCTATCCTGGTGCAAATCTTTTTAAAAAATGTGAACCGAAAACTGCCTAGCTAATGTTGATAGAGTTCATATAAGATGCATGCAAAAACAAGTGCCAAAATAAAGCAACGCCCGGGCATGTTCGAGCACCTGAGTGTTTTTGAATAGCTTCCTATGCACTAAGTCCTCGCTATTGTGTTAAACGCTGATGACACGGCGCGATATCGTTCTCAGAAATAGACAGAAGCTGGTTCCGAGACCACTTGTGCCAGACCAGAAGCTGTTGGTCATAACGGTGTTTTTGTGGCATGGGACTTCAAACAATTCCGGCAAATTGCGTATCCACCGAGTGATGTGAGGAGTTAAAGGATTGACGGCAAAAAGACGGTAGATCAGTCCTGGAACTTCGTATCTGTGATGTTCCTTCCAAAGACTTTCATGTTTGAGAATCGTATTATGCTACATGGATATGAATTTTCTATCCCATGCTTTGTAGTTTGGCCAGTCTTTTAACAGACTACGTGAACTGTGACTGCAAGTTTGCAATATTCACACTGAATGGATGCCGTTTTACGCCGCAGTGAGTTACGAGTCGAGCCTCGGCCCGACAGGCCTGGAGTTGGTCATGAACAACGTCCCATGCTGTCAGAGAGGAAAATGACGTTATCAACCAAATAAAAAAATGGACACGCAATCCGCATTGTCGAATCGT